AGGGGTTAATAGAACTACTCACTTTTTAAAAACAAAAGATAATTTAATCAAAATAATGACATACAAATAATCATAAATACATATAGAAATAGAAAAAACAGTAAATACACTTCTGATACTAAATACTAAAGCTTATTCCCAGATTGACTGATCTGGGAGTTAGTGGCATTTCTCAAGTCTGTGCTGCCATACGAGGCCGCAGAATCAATTACATATATGCATAAAATCCCATTACGCACCATCTTCAATTCTATATAGGCGGTCTATGTGCGCTATACAGATAAAGATTTCTTACTTACTATATAATAACACAAAGCTACAGATTCTTAACGTCCTATAATGACATCAGAAATGTTTCAGCACTTGTTTATGAGACTAAAAACAACAATTCAAAGACTTTCCAAATGGTCTGTTACTTTTGGTTCAACATATTCTCTTTGACGTTTTAGCCAATTGAAAAAAGTTATTATGGGCATGTTCACATGACTTGGGGCAAAAAGTATTTTTTTGTGGATGTTAAACCACCAAACAAGTGAACATCTGTCCACAAATCAGTTAAATCAGTTTGTTTACACCTTTTGAAACAGATGTTTTTAGCATTTATCCTATTTATAAGTGAACTTGGTTTAGTCAAAGTGAACCAGATGAAAAAGGGTGAGGAAGGGTAACTCTAGAGAAGGATTATTCAAACAACTGAGGTCGGCATTCACATCACAGGACTTGATGTATCTTCTAGTTGTAAGATACATTCATCCATGGCTCGTTCATCGCCTCTCCCTCCTGCGAACGGTGACTTCTGTGTCTTCCATTTTAAAAGGATTTGTGAAAGGAAAGAGAATCAATAAAATAAATCCAGAAGGACGGCTCGTTTTAATGTAATCAAAGTGGCAAAGTAGCACAAAGCCAAGAGCCAATGAGAGGTCAGTGCTGGCTACTCTCCCACTGTCAAAAACTAGTCATGATTTGGGCTGAAACCACTTAAAAAGGAAACAACTATAACTTTGTATAACCTTAAGAATAGAAAGTTTTAAAAACAAGGTTGGATCAACCTTGTGAAAAAGTTGAAAACAGTCAAGGGAATTGTAAAATGCAAGAATTGAGTGAATTTGACAATACTGTAGGAGTCTTTATGACATTGATTTGAAAAAAGTAGAGGACACAAAAAACTTAGACTTTTAGTAGCGAAGCGCAATAAAACATGTGGGCAGAAAAATATACCGTGGTTCTATTCTGTTTCCTTGTGTCAGCTGATATAAAACTCCCATTCATAATTGATGTGTCAGAGAGGGCTCTGAATTTCTCTGGGGGCAAAATCTAGGCTAACTGATGTCAGATGTCTCCTCATGAGCCACTGCCCAACACCGGCTGCATATTTACATTGGAGGGATGTCTATAAGTTTCAACAATTCAAATGATGTATTTCTCATCACATTTTGCAAACATGTTTTGTTTATAAGCATCTTTGTGATTTCTTACATACTGTACCTACTGATGCATACTAGTGAAATAGACCTTACAAGGTTGTCTTATATTGCAAACATGTTCTGTATATAATTACTTGGCTCTGGTTAAAAGAAAACTGAAATGTGAGCTTATAGAATATTTCTTAGATCCTGCCTGGTTGGGTTTTTGTAAAGCAGTATCGATGCTGATTTTGAGGGATTCTGAAAGACAGTCTTGTCTTGTAACAACGTGGCTGATGGCCAGTGTCTCATGAGAATACAAAATCAGCTGACAAACTCTCCCAATTGTATAGAATATCAAGCATTGAGTAACCATAGAATATTATTAACAGTATCAGGAGGCAATAGGATGGTAAACCGCAAGTTATTATGCTGATGTTTGAATGCTTTGAGTGCTGAGGAAAATGATTTGACTTTTTGAGGTGAATGAAATCAGCCTAGGTGCATTGGTCCGTTGGTCTCTATGGTGATGGTCCCTGTGAGGCTGTCATGTGCACTGCCACACCACGCTGCCATGATTACAGCTTTCAACAAACCATTTTGGAGCTCCCATGAAAGCGTTTTCAATGTCAAAATCCAGCCTGTTTTTGCTCAAGAAATCTCCATTTTCCATCTAAACTCATATCGTCTTTGTAGTATTATAGGTATTGTGATCAGTAAACTCAGTTAAAAGTATATTTATGAATGGCAATTGCACACAGTATTTGACTTGGTGCCATGATTACATCGTTTCAGTTTAGCACTTGGAACGATAAATATACCCTTAAGAGTGTAGGGCAGACGGGTTCGAGCTTTGTTAAGCATATGGCATGTGATGAATGCATTGACAAATCCAGAGTGTGAATATAATTTGCCATAACCATTTTACACTATAGACTCTTTTAAATAATATTTACTCATGAATAATGTCTCAATGAATTTTTCAGTTGTTTATTTATTTTATTTTTTTATTTATTGATTTATTTGATAGGGACAAGTGAACACAATCAACATGTGAAACACTACAACATTTATAGCCAAGGCTAGTTTGCAATGTCCGTCCCTAGGAGGGCTTTTAACACAATTAAAACACATTATACATTATAAAATTCACATTATACAAAAGCAGATGTTCTCCAACTCATTGATGCTCACACACCTGGTTTGTTTTAAGAAATCGCTTTAGTTCATGTTTAAAACCAGCCCAGTCAGAGTTCAGTTTTAGCTGAGGGCTTAAAGAGTTCCAGAGCTTTGCCCCCTGGACCGAGAAGACCGACTGTCCGAATGTGGTTCTCCTGAGGGGCACTTTCACATTCCCGTTAGAGGAGCCCCGTGTGACGGATCTCAGAGGAACTAAGAGAGCACTCAGGACAGCAGGGGCTCGACTGTGCAAACATTTGTACAATAATTTACAATTACAAAATTTAATAAAATTATCAAAACTAAGAAAATGTAGTCTCTGCAACACCTGGCAATGGTGTGTTCTTATTGGCTTTTTGTCCAGTATTTTTATGGCTCTGTTGTAGAGCATTCTTACTGGTTTGATGGAAGAGGCTGTGGCCTGGGACCAGCAGGTGATACAGTAACTTATCTGAGAAAAAATCATGGCGTGTAGAAAGATATTGGCTGCGTTGAAAGGTAAACAATCTCTGATTAGTCTGAAACTATACAAACTTGATTTAGTCCTTTTTACAATCTTGTTAATGTGACTGTCAAATTGCAAGTGAGAGTCCAGAATTAGGCCTAAATATTTGAATTCTCTCACTTGCTCAATGTGTTGCCTGTCAATTGTTAGGGGTAGGTTCTCAGTGGGACGTGTTCTAGATGAAAAACAGACAGATTTTGTTTTACTGACATTTAAAGAAAGATTGGATTGATTGCCAACATAATCAACCATATGTGACAAAAATATAAAAACCTATGTCATAAACTACAAAAGTATTAGTTAATCACTAAACTAAGCATTTCATACCACTTCCATCTTTATCCATCCATCCATCCATCCATTTTCTTCCCCTTAATCCATTTCTGGGTCGGGGGGTGGCAGTCAGAGCTGCACCCAGTACACAGAGCACCAGCCCCTCACTGATCCTCCTGCAGGAGTCCACAGGAGCTTCCATCTCCATCTTCAACTTCCATCTTTAATACATGCAAAAACTGTTAAATAGACAAGAAATGCATATACAGTATTTATGCATTTCTTGCATTTGTTACTTGCTAACAAATGCAAGTAAACGTTGTGTTGCTATGGTAACTTACACTTACTCCATGCTGAGATTTGCTCTGAAACTGCAATCCAGGAACAGTCTGGAAACGAGTCAATTTCTTAAACATAATTACGTTGATATAAACTACAAGTAGAAACAGAAGAAGGCACAAAGTTAGGAAGACCAAAAACTAGGGCTGTCAAACGATTACATTTTTTAGTTGATTAATCGCATAGTAATGGTGAGTTAACTCACGATTAATCACATGTTTAACATTCTATTTCAAATCCACTCCAATTGACGTTAAATGAGATTATCAAATATAATTACCAGTATTGGGTAAGTTACTTTGAAAAAGCAATTAGTTATAGTTACTAGGTACTAGGTACTTCTTCCAAAAAGTAATTGACTTACTAACTGAGTTACTCCACTATAAAAGTAACTAGTTACCAGTAAAAGTAACTATAGCGTGGTACCGAGCTTTAGCTGGCTGTAATTTAGGATAACTTCTAAGTAGATTAATTGTTGCAACAACCCCACCCTATTTTAGTATGATATGTTAGTTTAGGGAACTGTCCTGCAGGCAAACAGGTATAAGACAGGCCAAGGTGCCATTTAATTAAATTGCATTTATTTTTATCCATTGATCAAACAAACAGATTACAAAACTTGCAATTGAAAGAGACTATTTTAAAATAATTAGTTCCCAAAAACACACACGAGCAACACTCGCGCCTGACAGTCAAGAACCAGGGAGAATACAGTACGCAGAGCGCGCCTGACAGACAAGAACCAGGGAAAATACACTACGCAGAGCGCGCCTGACAGACAAGAACCAGGGAAATTACAGTGCGCAGAGCGCTGAGTATGTGAACGGAGCAATCGCTTGCTGCTGTTATTATAATAGCTAGATCCATGCTTGCAGCCCGTGCAAAGCTTGCACTCACTCACAAGCGCTAACAACAACCAGAGCGGCCACGGAGGAGGCCATCTCACACGCAGCATTAGGAGTGATATTCTTATGGATAAATGGGCGGGTCATTCGGACATGCGTTAATGCGTTTAAAAATAAATAACGCGTTAATAAAAAATGTAATTAACGTGAGTTAACGCAATAATTTTGACAGCCCTACCAAAAACGTACACAAACAGGGTAATTATACTTCCAAAAAGAAAGTGCTGGGAGTATTAGTGCTAAAACCATGACTTTAATTATTTTATATTGTCAATTGAAGTGGTGTATGAAAAATGTTTTATAAATGACTCCCCTGTTTTCATGGTTGGTCCTGGTTTTAGTCCTGTGCGATGTGAACCTCCTTTTTACACATGTGTTTCTGATTTGTCTCTGCAGTTGGACAACTTGGACGAGCAGGCAGCACAGATCCGCAGAGAGTTGGATGGGCGTCTTCAGATGGCGGACCAGATTGCCAGAGTGAGTCAGGCTCTGCAGGAGACTCTTCATATTCCCTTTAATAATCCTGGCTGTATAGTTGCTAGTATGTCCATAATATGGTGACACTTGGTGTGATAACCCGCTGTGAGTGAAAGTCCTCCCACTGCTCTGCTCGCTTTCACTGTGTGTCAATATCTCACAGTCTCTTCCAAAAGGTGTTTTACAACGTGCCAATGCAACTCTATGGAAGAAGGATATTTTGAAAGTGATTAGATTTAGATTACGAGATCCCTTATTTGTACCACAGTGGGGAAATTTCAGTGTTGCATTACAAGTTAATAATAACTCTATACTAATATAAAATAAAATAAAATCTCTAACTCTAGCATAAAAAGAAGCAGTATGAAATCTCTATCTTCAGCATAATAAGGACAGAAGTGTAAAATCTCCAGCTTTAGCGTGATGAAGAAGCAAGGCTTAGATTGACCAACCTGCCATTTTATACTTGTGTCTGAAAGTCTATGCTACTGGCCAACATCGTGTTTTTTTTCTTTTAAATATTGTTGCTACTTCTCAACATTTTTATGAGAAAATAGTTTGATCGAAGTTGACATGTGCTGACAAAGAGAACGTGGAACTTTGTGACATTTTTTGTTTATGTGGATCGGCCCTGGATTTAAAGTGAAATGAGCTATAACGAAAGACTAAATATCAGACTTTTGTCAGTTACCATAGTTACAAGATTTTTGAGTTCTCCTCCACCACATTGTTTACAGCCGAACTTACTAGTTATTATTTATTCTGTTCCAATTTACCATATACTGTATATATATATATATATATATATATATATATATATATATATATATATATATATATATATATATATTTTCCTTTCTTAAAAAAATAAATAGATTTGATCATTCTGCTTCTTTTGTGCTTTCCTAGGATCTTTCACCTTAAGTTTCTTGTTCTATACAACAATTCGAGGACTTTTTCTCCATTCAAAAGCAGAATATATTATGTTAATTGCAGAAATGTCAATTATCGTTATTCTGAAATCTATGAATTGAGGTTATTATTATCACTTTAGTTATTTTCTATACATACTCTAACTACAGAGTTCAAGGCAGACTTTTCAAAATATTTAATATAGAAAATTTAAATATTTGAATCCTGCACAAATAAAAAATGGCTCGAAATATATGGCTTATGTCTTCTTTTCTCCTTTGTTACCAGGGAGGCAAGTTTCCTAAATTTGTGTCCAAAGAGATGGAGGCCATGTACATCGAGGAGCTGAAGTCGTCCGTGAACCAGCTAATGGCCAATCTGGAGAGCATGCCCGTGTCGAAAGGAGGGGAATTCAAGCTGCAGAAGTTGAAGCGTGGACACAATACCTCCATCATCGACATGGGCCAGGAGGACGAGAACACGCTGTCCAAGTCCGACGTGGTGCTGTCCTTCACACTCGAGGTGGGCAAGCGCTGATTGAGGAGCTCTATTTCAGGCAGCCCGAAACACTTTTTCATCGACCACTCCAGACCATCAGTTCTCGCTGAATCAAATGAAAAAAAAAAAAAGCGTATCTGCACTGTGTAATAGTCTCTCTCCTGCGTGTCTCGGTGCATCATTTTTTAGAATAAATCAATCTCCATGGTAAAGGTTTCATTGCCTTGCATATTAAGGCAAGGCAAGTTTATTTGTATAGCACGATTCATAGACAAGGAAACTCTAAGTGCTGAACAAAACAAGATAGAAACAATCACACACAGTGCTAAAATCTTATGTAACTACAGAACATTAAAAAGAAAGATAACATATAAAATCCCTCAGTTGTATGCACAGCTAAACAGAACAGTTTTTAACCTGGATTTAAACACGGTCAGAGAAGAGGCCAGTGAAGAGGCCATGAATCTGAAATGCAGCCTCCCCATTTGTTTAGTTCTGACTCTGGGCACTAGGAGTCCAGTCCCTGTGCTCCTCAGAGTCCGAGTTGGGTCATATGGGACTAACATGACCCTCCACCAGTAAAAAATGCAGTGTATTTGATTGTGGTGCAGTTTTTTCACCAACACATGGAATCTCATGAAGATTCTGGGTTCAACTTTGGGGCAGCTTGAGGCTTTTTTAGGTGGAGTTTCACAGTCTTCCTGTGTCTGGGTAGGTTAACATAAATTCTCTTGCAGCAGCAGTAGTCCTGACCAAGAGCATCGGAATGTATAGCACAATTCAGTCACAAGGCAATTCATAGTGGTATAACAAAAAACAAGTTAGTCACACAAGGCACTGTGATCATAAATAATCACTGTACATTAAAAATAGTATAGATAATATCCCTCAGTTGTATGCACAGATGAACTGACCTTTTTTGATCTGGATGTATACATTGTCAGACAACTGTCTAATATATACATATGATATAGAAGATATAGAAGTTACTTACAGTATCTAGATCATTTTCTTCATCTTCATCATCATCTTCATCACCATTAAGAGCAGCGGTCTCACCTCCTGTCTCTGACGCTGATCTAACGTACCATAACGTCAAAAATCTCTCGCTCAATATAGCAGCGGCAAACATGATATATTCTGGAAAAAATACTGGTCAAAGATGTCATCAAGTGTGTCAAATTCTTCTCTCACATCCACGTTCTTATGGATGTGTGAATTCTCAGCCTGTGTTGAACACTGCAAACTGAAAATGGTGGACACATTATGTTCAGGGAAAGAAAATACAAAATATGCAAATTCCCAGGTGTTATTATGTTTTCAGGATTTAGTGTTAGAATTAATATGTTCAGTTATATATTTATTTTTTAAAAGAAGATTGAACTATTTAGTGCCTCCACTTGGCCTCATTTCAACCAGTACGATTTGTGGGAGGAGGTTAGTTAAACCAATGACTATAGGCCTCAAGGATTTGAATTAATCAGATTAATACATTCCAACACGGGGATCATCCAATTGAAAGCAAATTTATTTTTTATTTTTCATTTTTTTTCAATATAAAGCCCATTTGTCTTCATATCTAACATGAAAGACAAACGCGTGTGGATTTAAAACAGAAAACTTGTTACCTTTAAACACCTGATGCTCAGTGGATTTGAACCAATCAGAGCAGGGAACAGGTGGCACAGTGGTTAGCTGTTGTGCTTCACAGAAAGAAAGTCCTGTTTCGATTCCACCTCCAGACGGGACCTGTCTGTGAGGAATTTTTATCTTTCATCTTCTTCCCTTGTTGTTTAGGTCTTGTCCAGGTGTTCCAGTTTGCCCTACCACTAAAAACATGTTCAAAAGTCTTCTGTAGCGTCCTCCCTGACACCAGGACTCCCCTCAAAAAGAGATTTTGAAATTGCAGTGAGACTTTCCCGGTTAAATAAAATTCAAAAATTAGAATACCCAACAAACGGATTCAAGTAAATCGAAATTGTGTCTTAGCTTTTTTGTTTTTGTAAGACATTGCTTGATATGTTTCCTTTGCGCTGTGATACTAATCCATACATACAACTATCCATAACATATAAACATCATTCAATAAATAGACACGTTAACACGTTTTAATATTCGTTTGAAAGCTTTCTAAGTGCTGTTTCTTGTAATCACGCCTCATACGGCCTGGATGGAGCCGCTGAGCTTACAGCCGCAGGAAGTGACTGGATGTGACATGACATGCTGGGGGTGACTCAGGCTTGTGCTTGTGTGTGCTGGCAGGTGGTGATCATGGAAGTACAGGGGCTCAAGTCACTGGCCCCAAACCGTATTGTGTACTGCACCATGGAGGTGGAGGGAGGAGAGAAGCTGCAGACCGACCAGGCCGAGGCATCTAAACCCACGTAAGCTGTCGTTTGTTGAGCATTTTACAGCCTCTGGTTCTGAAGATGCAATACACCTTCCATTCACTACATTGACATCATATTTCAGCTTAGTGAACAGGTTGTGTTGATGTTCTAGAAATCTATTTCAGCTGGAGAGCAGGTTCCAATACAACTGGATTGGAAAGAAGCAATTGTCGTTATTACCATAATTTTTGTTATCATTATTCTATAGTGATTTGACTCACACACTTGCTATATTGGGGCGACAGTAGCTCAGTTGGTAGAGCATTGGCCTTTGGGCTTGGAGGTCGTGAGTTCGTGAGTTCCACCATGGGACCTACTCCAACTGCTCACACTGATGACTGCTGAAAGATCAAGGCTGTTTCACAATTGACGGAGCAGCCATCTTCCTGTGGACTCACCCCCTGCAGAAGATCAGCGAGGGACTGGTGCTATGAGCGTTGGGTGGCAGCTCTCATTGCCACCCCCCCGACCCAGAAATGGACAAAGGGGTTGAAAATGAATAGAAATTAAACTTGCTATATTATTCTGTACAATTATTCATCAGGTTCACGCCAGCCCAAGGGCGAATATGTATCCATTTATGGGTAACAAATCAAAACTTTCATGGTGAACATCTCAATTATAGATATTCTAGATCGACAAAAAATGTTATTAAGATGGAAAGTTCAAAAATGAAACCTTCAAGTTTCAAGTCCCTTTATACAAAATGAAAAAAATGACATTTTCAAAGATTTCAATCATTTTATGCTCTATTCACTCTGCTATTTCTATCTGTGTTTTTGTGACCTTGAGTTCCTCAGTCGGCCACTTTCTCCAAATGTTTGCACTATTCAATGTTCGCTTTCCTTGCAACAGTTTGAAAATACTTGCCATCAAAATGTCAGAGACATCACTCAATTATCAGGGGAGTCTATGGCTTATGCTAAAATGTCCTTCAACATGATCATACGTAAAGGTGCAGATGTGTTGCAAATATTTCCTACATTCAACCCACATATGTCAGAGAGTCTAAGATGTGAGAGAGAAGGGGATTAGACACCAACAAAAAGAGGCTTTGTGCGTAGGTGGAAACATACGGCGTTTATGTTACAAAATCATATGCTCTACATGTTTAGAATAAAACATTTTTCGTATTTCAAACTGTGAACCCAAATTGGTCCATCGGTCTGTATTAAGAAGCCTTCATTACTTTTTGGTTCTATCAAAACCAAGTAAAATGAATACGCACAAAAATAGCCACAGAGGAGCAAAGAACAAACAAATACAAAGATGGATCCTTGTTATGACAGTATAGCCTAAAAAACACCTTTTGAATAGACTTTTTCCACTCTATACAGAGGGCAAACCACAGATATTTACATAACACTTTTTGTATATTTGTCTGTAATTGTGAGTAATTTGACCTGATTAGGTTTCAATATCATTTTGAGGAGGAGTTGTAGTTGCACAGCGATGTCAGGTCTATTAATAGAACCTAGATTGATCCACAAGGTCACCTTCAGTGGTGTTACAATGGCTCCCTTCAGCTGCTGCTGGGGATGAGGGAACTGCAGTGTCCGGGCTTTACATTCATCACAATTATAAACACACCACGCTGCATTTACAGACAAGCGGCAGAGAGGGGAGAAGATTGCCTACAGGAAATATTTCACAAGAAAATAACAAGCTCTTTCTATTTTTGGGACGTCACATTTTCTCTTTGTTCAGTCATTTATATTTCACTCAGTCTCCTATGATTGGTACAAAGAGTGTATTTGTGACTCTATTGCTTCACACTTTATCAATTTTTTCAATAAAGGCAATTTCACTTCATGTTAAATGGGTTTTGCTTGATTTAATGAGAATAGAAAGTTAAAATCAGACTTTGGAATATTCTCATATAGTTTATGAATCTTCTTCAAGGAGGCAGTGTTTTATGACAAACTCGATATGATATCTATAGAAACAGCATTTCATGGAACACAAGCTTCAGGTACTTGGGTCAGGGAACATCCAATCATGATGATAGAATCTGGCTCACTTTTGCTTGTTTTTTAAAACTTGATGACAGACTAAGAACATGCATCTTGATCACCCTGTGCTGTGGCAACTCACAGAATATTTTCTTATTACACTTCTGACAAGACCTTCCATGACCCAGTATCAACAATAAAACAATAAAGAAACAGAACATTGCATTCATTTCAGCTTTGAATACATACATATCACAACATTTCATCTTGCCCAGTATTGATAGTTGAAGTAATAGGAACACAGTCTGTTCTGCTGCTAAAGTATGTTTGTGCAATGCATTATTTTGTACAATAGATGGATTTAAACGCAAGGTCCAACCCCTTTTTATTTTTCTCGGGTCAAAGCAACAACATGCAAACCAGTGGGAGGTAACGAGAACATGTATCATTTATGTATTATGCAATCAGGTCCAACAGATGAACAGACACTGCCAGTAGCTTTTGTAACTTTCTTTTTTTATCCACCTCTTTGCAAATAAACAGAACCTTTTTTTTAAGATATCTGTCGTTTCTTGTTTTACTTTAATCTCTGGCTCTATATAGTTAGCACATATAAGACAAGTGCTTTGTTATAGAGAAATCACGCAGTTTAAAGACATGTCTGGATTATAAATAGGTTGAAGAAGGCTAGGTGCTATTATTCATTGTCTCCCCCTCGAATCTGCAGCGTCCCTTTGTGTGCCGTGAACTACATACATACAGTACATGTATTTTTTTTTTCCTCTGCTACAATGTTGACTGCCATCCCAGCGGAGCGTAAAGTGTCAGCTGTTGTTGCGTGTTAGTGGCCGTGCGCACGTCTAGTCTCCTCTCGTGCACCTGCACCTTTTTCCCTTATAGCCGCTCTGAAAGCCTCTGATGATGTCACAGAAGCTTCCTCACCGGGCCCTGTGTTGTGTGTTTCAGCTGGGGCACACAGGGGGACTTCACCACCACGCACCCGCTGCCCGGCGTCAAGGTGAAGCTGTTTACGGAGAGCACCGGCGTGTTGGCGCTCGAGGACAAGGAGCTGGGAAGGGTGACGCACACTTTTATTTTTGTTTACACCAGTTTGCACCACATCTCTACAATCCATCATTAGCAAAGCCCTCCTGAACTGCTTGTGTGCTCATTTTCCAAACAAGATAATATTGGATGAATTACAATAATGTCATGAGGTGAAGTGAAGGAAGGACCCAAACTACAGGAAAGGAACAAATAATTTCAGAGTCAAGGGCGGGAATATATTAATACAAAAGTTCAAGGTAAAAAAAAAAACTATTCTAAAATCCAAACAAAACTAGGAATATAGACAGATATACAAAGGCAATGGACCAGCAACATATGGGGATGAGCACAGGTACAACACAAAATCCACACCGTGATAAGTATACTTTTTCTAAACGTATAAGTGGGGATATTTCAATGTTATTGTTGCACACATTACAGCAGAATAAAGGAGAACATAAGAGCACTTAATGCAGGTTACTCACACATCAAACAGGATCGAACGAGATACATGATAAAATAATCAGGTAATGAAGTAAAACTCTAGAAGTAGAGGAGCATGTATTAATTCCAAGAAGGAGCAATCTAAACTGTAAATGTCAATATTACAAAACCCAATAAAATGAATCTAATACTGTAGTTTCTATTCTGTTATTGTAATATGCGGCAACTGGATCATAGAAAGTAATTTACTAACTGAGCTACTTTGTTACTGTTAGAAAGGTAGTCAAATTGAACTCATGCGAAAAACTCAAACAAGTAAAAGTCTGAAACACACGAATTTTAACTGCATTTTCTGATAAAATGAATAACCAAAGCTTTAACACACTTCTTCACAGCTAACACGAAACTATAGTTTGAATCTATTAATAAACTAGCTTCACTGCAGACAACAACGGGGACAGCAGTGCTTTATTTGTTCTCCATTCCTGAGGCAAACATTCGACCATGTTTATTTTCAGCAAGTTTTCATTTTGGGTATACACACTATGCATAGAGAACCTTGACATCCAACAGCCACGACTCAATATGATTGATTAATCCAGCACTTTTCTCATATTTTGCAAACACATTTATAAGAAAAAGTCCTTATTAGTTTGAGCTACCTGCAGATACAGATAATGTATAGTAGTGGTTTGCATTCTGCTGTGGCTCTGACCTTGTGTGCGCGGGCCGCTTTGATCCTCTCTGCGGCGGCGATTGCAGAAAGGCGGGTTTCCTGAAAGCTCTTTAACTCGGCAAAGAGAGATTAGGCCTCCTCTTCAGGGAGACACTGCAGCGCCCCGCTTCCTAACACTTGTCTTTCTCACTCCTCACAAACCTCAAAGACTCACACCATCTCCTCCAACTCTTTCCCTCTTAATGTCGCAAGAGATCGTTTTATTAAATCTGTTACATGATGTTCTCTGAGTGCAGGTTGTGCTCCACCCCACTCCCAACAGCCCCAAACAGTCGGAGCTCCACAAAATGACTGTTACCAAGGCGTGCCCGGACCAAGACCTGCGGATCAAGCTGGCCATCCGCATGGACAAGCCTCAGAACATGAAGCACTGCGGGTGAGACTGGTCTTTCTACAGCTCTCACAACTCTTTGGCCTCATTTTCTATCATGTAACATGGAAAAATGCTGCCAAGTGCACGACACCCCCTGGTGGAGACTGTCATGTACTTGAAGTGTTGTAAATTGGGATCTGTTTAAAATATTACACAGGGATGCTTTATTTACTCAAGTGCATTGAAGATAACCTTGAAAAGATGTGCTTTTGCGCTGCAGGTATCTCTGGGCTTTTGGAAAGAATGTTTGGAAGCGCTGGAAGAAGCGTTTCTTTGTCCTTGTACAGGTTTGCATACAATTCATACATTCATAGAAACATATTGTATTGTGCAATCAATGTGATGGATGGTTACCAACAACCCTCAAGCTGTAGCCTGCATAGGAATGAAATGCAGAGCTAAAGCACAAGATACACATCATGCTCAGAAGAGAAATGGAAATAGCAGTTATTCAAAATCAGACCTTTTAAAGCAGTTCCCTTTTTTAGCTCCGCTGAGCAGAGACCTAAACTGGACTGAAAAGTGCAAGGGTAGGGGGCTTTGAGCAGATGTCCACTTGGTGGGCGTGCAAGCCGTCATTGACAAACACATTATTTAGATTTATTTGGGAAAGTGAACACATTTGGAGAGGGTTTACTTAATAAATGCTCAGAGGCTGAGAAATGTCCATGACCTACATCAAATATGATTTGCAGAGCTCAGATGCTCAAAATAGGCTCCAGTTTGGTTTAGTGGGTGCCTGCCAGAGCAATACCACAATGAATTATCACTGAAATATTATTGCATATTTAATTCAACATAAATCGTACTTGTGTTAGTGCTAATTAAACTGGCATAAGCAGTATGCCAGGATAATCTCTCTGTTTTGAGTTTATGTTTTGTTGGATGAGCCTTGCACTCTTTCTTATCAATGTGTATACATGTTTGTACTTCCTTTTTAGGTCAGCCAATATACATTTGCAATGTGCAGCTACAGAGAGAAAAAGTCTGAACCACAGGAGCTTCTCCAGCTCGATGGTTACACTGTAGACTACAGTGACCCACAACCAGGTCAGTGCCTTGTGTTTAATAAATAAATATTATTTCAGTTATAATGGGTTAATGTGGGCATTAAAACAGAAATGGCTACAGATCAATCAAAATTATATCACAAACAACATCCAAAAAATTACGTCATATTTCAGCCTGGCTTATGCAACTGCCATTGATATTATTGCACATCATAGTTAAAGTCAAAATAGGATTAACAGCAAAAAATGAGACATACTGTAGGTAAAAACTTGATTTTACACAATTGTAAACCATCTACCAATGGGTCAAGCAGGACTTCTTAAATAGACCAACAAATTCTCAAGTTAAATGAGAAAAATGAAACAAAACAAAAAAGATGTTTTGTTGGCCCTGTTTTTACAAGACAAATGTTGTGCTGGTGCAGGTTTGGATGGGGGCAGAGCCTTCTTCAACGCAGTGAAAGAAGGCGACACTGTCATCTTCGCCAGTGATGACGAACAGGATCGCATCCTGTGGGTCCAGGCCATGTATCGCGCCACGGGCCAGTCCCACAAGCCTGTTCCGCCCACTCAGGTCCAGAAACTCAACTCCAAAGGTGGAGTCTCTGCCCAAATGGATGCTCCCATTTCACAGTTCTGTAAGTAGCACCACATGTGTTCTCACCGATTAGCTCACCTATTATTGTAGGAAGCAGTTTTCATCCACAAATCAGCAACGGTCTGACCCATTCTTGTCTCACGCCATGCGCTCCACACTGCCGTCACAATTGTGCTGGTAGAACTAACACAAAAGCACGCACACACAACTCACGGAATCCCATAGCATCTGATGGACCGCTACTGTTTAAAGTGCAACCCCAGCAACTCTTGTAAGAAAACTGTCCTTTATAAGAGATTGGCCTGTCAATATGAAAAGAAACATTAAACAAGAATTATTCCAATGGGGTTGGATTAAGACAGTAAACCTTTTTTGCACTTACCAAAGTTATCCGTAGCTGTAAAGGCAAATGCTAACCACTCTGCTAATATACCCTTAGCAGCACCACTCATGTAGCAAAGGCGAAGGTAAGACCATGTACAGTAGTGTGGCATCTGTACAAACTCCTGTCTGTTCAATGTACCGTGTTTTTTTTATCATTTATCCGAAAATAGCAGCATAGCATAGTAGCATAATCCCAAATCTCTCCAATGTATTTTCTTGCAATAATGATAGAATAATAGATCCTGCTATTCATAACATTTTAAAGCAAAGTATAGTATTTTTCTTTATTAAATATATGTACATCTTACCACAATTGGCACTCTATCTAACAGAGGATATTCTGATTACATGCTAGTAAATCTAAAGACATGAACTGTAAGAATCTTGAACCGCCTAAAGTCTATGTTGTTCCTCCATTGGTTTCTTTGTCCAGTATGTGAGTGTTCTTGTGGTTAGTTGACTTTTCTGATGCCAGCTGTTGCCATTCAAAGCGTCTCCACAGCGGCACAGACCCTCCTCTTCCTCCCTGAAACATTGTGGCACACCAACGCAAACATGTTTCAACCCTGGTGCTCTTGAATGGCACTGGGACCATAGCATACACAGCCTCATCACTCTGCTGCCAACGCCTTTCGTCTAATCACGGCCATAATGAAGAAAGTCGTGTCCTGTTAATATGGGGGAAATTGAAAAATCACCCACTTTGCCTACTGGCTAAAGCTATTGCTATTCGAAAAGGGCAGCACTAAACTGTAATTAAACTAGGACCAACCCAGGACTATAAGACTATACCTTCAGTCACTAAAACTGGGGTACATAAAAACAGAACCATAATGAACTCCATGTAACTTTTCTTTCAATAGGTATCACATCACATGCACATATTTTTTTGTGCCCACAGAAAAGCATGTTTTTTACAAGATGAAGAATGTATATTGCGGTCTGAATTTTTATATTATTAGACTATTTAGGTATTGAACAAAAACCAAAGTTAGGTACCCCAGCTTTAGAATTCTGCTATATTGTTTAAAATGCTTAAAATAACACTGCCAACACTTGATTTATACCTATAGAAACCAGATAAAACTGATGGTGGCCTCTTTATGTTTTATAGGTCTACCTTTTGACAGTAAGCCATTACTTTGATCTCCAGCTCAGGAGTTTGACAGCGCTTAAACTTAAATCCAGATAAATGCTGTGCAGCAGAGTGACAAGGACACTTCTCTTCTGCCTGTTGCTATACGGCTCTTGTCACACTCCTCGCTCTCACTCTCTGTCTCTTTCTGTCTTTCTCTCATCTTTACAAAATGTCCCTCGCCACATAACCACACACATTCATGTCGGTATATAGGCTGTTGTTTTTTCAGTTGTGTTTTCTACTATTTTCTCATGCTTTCTGCCTGTTACCCTTGTTGAGTGATGCTAGTAGCTGCTAGGTCAGGGTATCTCTTCTCTTCCTCCAGCCTTGTTGCTAGTCTTTATGTTATATTCTGGTTTGTCCCTTCTTACCCTGCTGTCTTCTAGCTGGACTCAAGGGTAAGTGCTTCCCTGTAGCCGGCACAACTCAGATAATCCCCGCTGATTATCTGACCAATGCAACGTTCTCTATCTCTCTTATTTCCCTTCCTTTCTCTTCTCCTTTCACGTCTCGCTTCATGTCTTCTTACTAGATCTTAGTGTTTTTTTTTTTTAATCCCTCCTGACGACCTCTACTCGAGGATCGGAATATATAAGCATCCATTTGTGCCAATATAGGATGCATGTAAGAAGTTTTTGATTTCAGCAATGGTTCAAGTTGATCTTTATAAAGCTGTTACTGCATAATTGCCTTCTCTCTTAATTCTCATTGGTGAGCAGACCCCTCTGAGTAAAGCGTTACATAATCATACAACACACACATTTCTTCCTTTTGGCAACTTTCTTAATATCCGATTTTCTGCTGCTTTTCATCAGAGGGCTCAATCTTGTCCATTTTCTTTTACTTTGAGAGTTGGCAAATATGTACGCGGAGTATTCGGAATGCCCTGTAGATGGATTATAGCTGATGCCGCCCCCTTCTTCCAGTACAATACTCCGGACCTCTCCTACAAAGAGCCAAGTAGCTTGTAGTCTTAGAAAACGTAGCTTTTTTTTTTTTTTTGAGAAAATAACCAGAACTCATTTTGTTTTTTTGACTGCCCTTTTGTTTTGCCTGTACAGGACCACACCTGTGTCATGTGACCATAACAAAAAACATTATCAATACTCTTATCCTCCCCATAAACCCCGGAGAATGTCAGCTTCATGCTACTTTACCCATGCACCAAATTGTATTGCTACCCCTTAAATGATTCTCCAGTAGTGTATGCCTTGTTAGAGATCCATGAATACACTGCAACATACTCCAACTATTGTCAACTTGCACATGCATATAGAAAAACCTGAAGGAATGCAAGAAGAAAAAAAAAACGCAATATTGAATCTGCATAATGTGCATGGTGTTTAGAAATTAATGAGGAGTCGCAGTGATCTCCAGCATGTAATGATTTATCAATGAATGCCAACAGTACGTGCTTAGTCACGATTAATTACTCATGAGTGAGTATTGACGACTGTTTATTCCTCTATAGTGTTGACTTGTTTTCTTGAGGGTGTTTTTCCTTATACCAGCCAGAGGAGATATATAGTAACCTTACCTCATAGCTCACCCCGACAGCATTTCACTTTTGAATGTATTTCCATGCCCATTTTTGACCACTTTTTCTCACTAAACCTCTTCAATATTCCTTTGCACTCACTAATGACACTTTTTAATCTACATGTTTTGCACAACGGCGCCCTCTAACTGTCACTTGTCCATGTTTTATCTGTTGTGTCTCGCGTTTTTTTGTGTCTTTTGCCTAGATGTACCAAAAAAGAAAAAAGCCCAATAACACAAAGTTCCTATATTACTTGCCCTTCAACTTTCCTTAACCAGATGTCACTCCGATTGGGTCCATCAGTCTATAGCTCCCCGCCAAATATTTGTTCCGCCTTCACGCTCCAGTCATCTTCATTCACAGAGTGTTTCATGGCCACGCCTGTTCCTCACGAGGACACCACTGCATCTCTCTAAACAGTTTGCCTGAACGTCCTCACCATCTTGTGTATTGCTTCTAATTCAATGCTAATCTCAGAATATATTACTAATTTTCATAGCATACTAGAACTACCTTTTTCTTAGACTATTCCTGCAACTATACTTCGTCATTTAGCAAATCAGAATGGCAGAATCTATTGAATTCATCATGTAGTTTTTTTTAGTTTCAATATGGATTTAGACCTATTGACTATAATCACAACTTTAGGGGATGAGAAAAGTCTTGCATGCACATGGTGTCCAGGCAGTTGTCCCTTCTAGCGTAGTCGTAGTACTCCAATCTCTTTACGCTCGCTTGACACAATGCAAGTTGACAATGTGAGCTGTAAGTGTTTTTAATTTGCCCTTAGAAGTAGCCAAATAGATCCCCTGTTTGTGCTGTGATGAACTGTTTGGCCCCATTCATGCTGTCCTCTGAACCGTGTGCTTCTCCCTGTGCTGTGCCGTTGGCCGGATAGATGCTGACAGAGCTCAGAAACACGGCATGGATGAGTTTATCTCGGCTAACCCCTGTAGCTTTGACCACGCCTCCCTTTTTGAAATGGTGCAGCGGCTCACATTGGACCACAGACTCAACGACACCTTCTGCTGCCTGGTAAGATCCGGGTTCCACTCCACTCACTGCTGTTCAAGTGATGGACGGAAGAGGTGTAGGGTCAGAGAGGGTTTGGGCCCGCGTCTTGTCTGAGAGTATGAGTGTGTGTGCGCTCTGTGTGGTGTAGTATGAGTGAGAGGGGTCGGAAACAAAATAAGTGCTTGCTTCGTTCAACCCCCTTTCGAAATTAGAATATTGTTCAAAAGTCAAAGTTTACATCCTGTCATTTAATTTACTTGTGAATTTAATAAATGACAAACTCATTACACGCAACGTGAGATACATCAATCCAATCCTTAACTTTTTCGTTATAATTGTTTATAATTGGCTCTCACCTTGAAGAAGGAGTGCTGCAGTCCTTTTCTTTTGTGTGACAGGACTACAAGTATTTGAAATGTAGTTTGTGATGTATTGTCAAATCCACAATTGAAAAAAATGAAATACATAATAATAATAATGATCATAATAATAATACAAATAATTGGCTCACAGCTTGTAAAAAAAAAGTTTGAAAATGGACTGTAAGCCTATGCCATCAAAATTAAAGAACTAAATGTACTTCTGAACAACATAATTTTCCGAGTTCCGTCTGTATTGTTGTGTATCTGTTTTGTATGTTGTTTGTTATTATATTTGTCTTTTGTACCATAATGTTTCCCACTAAAACAAAATGGTCACGGCTTCTGCACAGGGATGGTTCAGCCCGGGCCAGGTCTTTGTGCTGGACGAGTACTGTGCCAGGAACGGGGTGAGAGGCTGCCACAGACACCTGTGCTACCTGCGGGACCTGCTGGAGAGGGCAGAGAAGGGGGCCATCATCGACCCCACTCTGCTGCACTACAGCTTTGCTTTCTGTGCGTCCCATGTCCATGGGAACAGGTGTGCACAAACCTCTCACAAATGCACTCACACGTCTCACAAATCTGTCCAACATGGAGTAGAAGTAGCAACCTTTTAGCAAATCATTCTGTGTCATTATTTACTGTTTGATTTTGTTATGATTTCATGTATTTATGTTGGCATTTTGTGTTGCTTTTTTGTGATGTTTTTAATCAGTTGCATTTTTTTCTGCATACTTTTGTTTCTATCATTTGCTTTCTTTTCTCTTTGTCCTTTGTTGACATAGTTTCTTACTTTCCATATTATTCATCCTCCCATGCGTCTGTAAAAGTCAGAGAGGGCAGCTACTGGGGGCCGCTGGGCTATGAGGCCCTCCTGTCCCCAAAGAGCAGCCCCAGCCCAGACCCCAGCTCTGCCACATTACCGGCACGCATGTTCAAGTTTAGAAAGAGAAAGGATCTCAAATTTCCTTTCTTTCAAGTTCCCAAAAGGTGAGCCCAAGTCATATTTCTATGATTGTGATAGGTTATGTTCATGTTGTACAATTGTAGAAAATCATTTCAGTTGGAGAGAAGGTGCCGATACAACTCCACGGCAACAAAGATGTTTTTAAATAAAATGTTCAAATGTTTTCCCAGATCATTATTTAATAATGATTCACAAACCTGCCTCTTCTGGCCAATATCATGTATCTGCTTTTGGATATTGTCACCACCTTTATGAGAAAATAATTTGACAGTAGTTGACAAAAAAATATGACATTTTTGACAGTTTTTGTGTCATGTGGATTGGCTCAGGAAAAGACTATAACTAGAAGTCTGACTTTTGATACTTATCATACTTTATAGAACTGATTTTCCAGCTGCCCTCCACCACAATGTAAACTATAGACTAATATTGTGATGTCACATGAACGCAATCTTCTCGCTCCATGTCCTGGAGCTTGAAGCTGGCAGCTCTTTTCTCATGTCAGACTCAGACCAAGTTGCATAAGTGAAAGCTCAGCGGGACTTCTGCGCCCTTCATGTGTGGTGTGATCTTCACAGGCCCGACGGGCTCAGCACAGTCGTCGTAGACGAGAAGGAGCGCTTTGAAGACATCAAGGAGCGGTTGCGTGTGATTTTGGAAAACCAGATTGTAAATTTCAGGTGATTAGTCAATTAATTACGTAGGACCTTAACTCACACAGCATGCAGTCTATTTCATGTCCTAACTTCAAGTCCTTTCTTGTAGATATTTTTTCCCCTTTGGTCGTCCGGAGGGGGCTCTGAAAGCAACTTTATCTTTGCTAGAGAGGGTGTGTGGATTAAGACCATGTTTAAACACCACAAATGAAAGGGTAACATTCTAAATCATGTGTAACTTTGCCTGTAGGTCCTCATGAAAGACATAGTGACCCCAGTTCCACCAGAAGAAGTGAAAGGTGTAATCCGTAAATGTTTGGAGCAGGCAGCACAACTCAACTATCAGCGGATTAAAGAGTATGCCACGAATGAAGGTAAAAATCCATATATGTGAGCTATTTAGCCTCGTCTTGAGAGTGAAACTGTAAGGTGACTGTATTTATTTCATGGTTTATTGAGTGGAAAAATGACACCTTATTACAGTAACTCTTAAGTGACTTGTTGTGATTTCTTACTGAGCACGTAGTGAGCTCACTTGGCATATGGTACGTGTCCATATCCCAAATGACCTGTGACAGTGTGTGGGTCCTTTTGTCTCTCAGTCCAATAACTTTCTCCTTTGTTTCAGGCCCACTTTAGCTCTGTGCTGTTCTGTAGGTCAAGTTGGCTTTTGTGTAGAGGTGTGTGAGTAAAAATGCATTCAAATCCAAAGCCCTGAAATCTGTTGATTGATGTGCTGATCTGCCATTGTGACTTTATGGACTCCAGCTGTGTCTCAGGCCCTTCTAGACCTTAGGTGACTGGACTCGCCCTTTGGACAATCTCTCTCTTTCACCTCTGCCTGAAGATTTCTGTTTCACTTTCTTCTTGTACCCGTCGCTTCCCTTCCTAACTTAAGAAACTCCGGGATTATTAATCAACAGACAAGCATCCCTGCACCGCTTGCATGTGCTTTGACACACAACATGACAGCATGGATTTACATATGAAATGATCAAAGACATTTTTTGGATGTCTTATCTAACTTCCCAGGGTGCTAAAGATACTAAGGACTTTAGTATCTTTCCAATGATTCCCAAAGTCATTGTGAGGTCACTGTAATTCGCTGCCTCCTGAGATCAGATTCCCATACTCCCTCTCACTTGTAGCCTTCCCATGTCTGACCCGAGCTTCCTCTTGCACGATCCCATCCTCTTTTATAGGCAAAAAGAGGGAAATGTTTGAGCACCCTGTCTTCTGCTTGGCGTCTCAAGTGATGGATTTAACCATCCGTGAGTACCTTCATCTCCGCGCCCATGAACCTCTTCAATCTCAAATTTATGTTACTTTTTTATTTATTTTTTTACAGCTCACCTCATATCCCTCCCTTTCTCCTTTCAAACACTCAAAAAACATACAGTATTTGTCGACATCCGCGTTCCTTGTTTGTGAGAGTGAATGTCGGGGGTGACACTGTTCCAAAAGTGCACATGTCAACCAGTGGAGCATGTCTGTAAGCTTTTTTTTTTTTTGAAAATTTGTTTTGGATTCCCATGTTACTTTGACTTGAATGCATTTTTACATTGCTTACATTGTGATCTCCTTCAGTCATTTGGTGGGGTACATGTGTCAGTGGCGTGTTGTGCCAGGCAGGTAGGATGTAGCAAATCTACAACAAAAACAATTTGACCACATAGAAAAGACACATAGGTATTATTTTTGATACCATTCAATGTCTCGTCTGATGCCGACAGCTTTCCGTGTGTCTCCTGTGTACATGGATAAGTCTGAGCTTCTTTCTTTGTGTTTGTGATCATCTCTTTTAATTTGACTTTTCACAGGCGCTGTTTTGATTGTATGTTGTGTGACGTTTGTTGTCTGTTTGCTAGAAGCCCCACTCTCCCCGGATCAGACAGCGGCCCCCAGCAGATCTCACTGAATCCCCAGTAACTCTGCAGAGAACCTTAGCGCGTGCTATTGCTAAACCTTCTCCTCTTTATCTTTTTTCTCCCTCCTGTCGGTCGCTGAAGTTGAAAAAGGGCAAAAGGATCAAAAGGATCCAGGTGAAGCCATGTTTAGTTTGTGGGCTTTCCCTGAGCACACACTTATGTATTTAATCTGATGGGAGCTTTTGCAGGCTCCTATATGCATGCATCAAATAGGATGTTAGTATACTGTATATACCTGCACAATACACTATATCTGTTTTTCATGCTTCAAGCTTTCCAGTTTTATTTTCCAAATAAAAAGTCAAACTAGTTATATTTGTAATTAGAAAAGTGAAAATGCCAAGTTGTTGCCTCAGTATGGATTTAAAGCAGAGAGGCTCTCTATAAGGTCATAATTATGTAGTCCTATATAAGACATCTTATCAAAAAACATCGACTCCAAACTGAGTCAGTTTAGCGGAAATTATTATATTGATGGATCCTATATGCTTTTGTGACAGTTAAAATGATCAATGCTTCACTAAATCTAGGCCATTTGAAATCATTAAAGAACAACACATTTAGTGCTGTCTTTCTCCATACATCTGTATCCACACATCTTATTGTAAATTAAAATTAATACATCTGTTGTAGCCAGTGATTAAAACTTAGACTTGCACATTCAAACAGTCTCAGAAGTCTTTAGGATGTTTGACAGTTGAATCAAAGTTATCCAAAACATTCATGGCCCCATAACCAAACTATTGAAAAGAAATAAAAGCAGAGCAGTCACTGTTTTATGTAGAGTTATGTATACTTGTGCTTTTGATTTCAGATGTGTATGACCATCTGGTCTCATGTCCATGTTCCAAATTATACATCTGTCATTTTGCAAAGTTTTACAATCTGGTTAATCATCTTCTTGTTTAGCTGTGTCATAAAACATCCTGTTAGGAAAAAAGTTAAATCTAAAACCTAATTCATCATCTAGAAAATGGATATCATCAAATGTCCAGCATTGCAATTACTGCAGACAAAAACATATGTCTGCCACACATAGGATTAATAGTGATTCAATCAAGTCTAAGCCATGTTTAATTATAAGTAAAAGTATAAATAAATCATTATAATTCCTTAAGTAAACAAACCGAGTATTATGTACTATGCAACTCTTCTGGTGGATGGTTCCTAACCTGCTTTACTTTACTTTTAATGATATTGCTTTTCCTGGAACTGTTCAAAGCTATTGCTTTGAAAGGGACTTTGTGCTTTGGCTAAAAGCACGATAATAGCTGTAGCATCCGAGTGCGGTGCCACAGTTTGACTATGGTTTCTGCATCTGCTCCTAGACTTCCACATCAAACAAACTACATAAATTAATCTAATTTATGAGAGCTATTTTTGTAATCCAAAACTACCATCTTCACAGAAGTGTATCTTTGGCTGCTCAGTTTAATACCATACCACTGAACAGGGGAAAAGCAATATCCATCATGGAGACAAGCAGGTGTTGGACCTGCACTGTTAAAGTTCCACAGTACACCTTTAATGCAGATATTTACACACATTAGTACTATTCACCAGACACCATGCAGCTCATAGCTTACACTTTTAGCATGCTACCATTCTCTGCATGTTTGCATCTTCATGTCAATGCCACTTCTTCTCACATGGGGTTTGTCATAGGTGCAACATCACAGCGTAGGTGCTGTGGCATTAGGTCATCATTACAACAACAACAACAACACCAAAATGATTTGAATAGTCAGACAAATCCCCCTGGAAATCCTTATGTGTGCTTGACTAACTGCTCGTCCCTGATCCTCGTCCTTTTGTCTCAGAGAACGCAGGCCGCTTAGTCACGCCTGCCAAAAAGCTGGAGGAAACAATTCGCCTGGCGGAGTTAGTCATAGAAGTCCTCCAGCAGAACCAGGAACACCACGCGGAGGTGAGTGATCCGCCCCCGCCCTCTCCCCATCGCCCGCTCTCTTATCGCACACTACCCAGTTACTTATTATTATCAGCTCATACTATAAATAAAGCTGCTTTCATCTACAGCTAACTTAAGGGGGGAATTTAATTTAGGAGAGGCTCTAATTGGTGTGAAGCCGACCGTGCCGAAACGAGCCAGAGCAAAGTGTTTGTGCAAAGAATGTAAATTTGCTTCTGCATGAAAACACGTCTGCCGTTCTGTGCTCTGATTATAGTCCAGAGCTCAGGAGCGCTGTTACGTAAGCCGCTGGAAGCCCAGGGAGATGGCGTGTGTTTAAAGATACGGAGAAGGAAAAGTTCAGAAGGTTGTGTGGAAGAAGAGGTGAGGGAAAGCACAGTGCAGGTTAATCTAAATGTCTCCATTAGCATAAGAAGTCCGGTTGTAATGTTTCTAATGAGAATCACAAACCAAATTTCACTCAAACTAGGACACAAGGTTTAAGAAAATCCAAATTGTTGCATATTATATCAATGTTTGAATCACATACTTGTTATTATACATTAGCTTACCTAATGGAGCTGGGGAGCGGTTGTCCACTGAGGATTCAAAAGCCAAATTCCCTGTTAAAAATTCAAAATAACAGAGAATAAAATAATAGAGTAGGACATTACCCAATAGAAGCTTCTCTAGCTGTCTGGTAACTGTTATTAACTGTTATTTTTCAGCCAATAAACCTCAATCAAAAATTAAGTTGCGATTTTTATGTTTTGAACGGAAACACAGCTCTAATAAAACATAGGATTGTGGGTAGTTTAATCCATTCATATAATAGTTGGAGATATAGATTTATCAGTAAAGTTGAGGATGTATTGTACAGTTCAAACAGTATAAAATAATATTACTTTTACTACTGTGGGGAGTGTACTCTAGCAATTACATTGTTGGACTAATTTTCTATTTTACGCTTTGAAACTGTTTTTTGATTTGTAAACCAAATTGGAACATCAGTAAATAATTCTGTTTTCATTTTGAAAAAAAAACCCCAAAACAATTATTTCCCAATTTTATATTTTGTACCCTTTTGAAAATGAAAACATGCTCTTATTTGATTCGTAAATCCATCAAGCAAAAACAAGTTGTTTTCCAAGTTTTATTTTCCTTTCCAAAGTGAAATTTGTAAATGTCCTTTGTTGGTTACATCTCAAATACTTACTTTGGATGCGAAATTTGACTGTTATGACTTCCATCAACTAATTATTTCAATGACCTTCCAATACCAGTAAAATGGTTAATGCTGTGGATCGTCGCTATGGAGACATGTTGGTGGCGCACCGATCCACTAATAATATATTGCACACCTTTAAATTCTTAGTATTTTCATGTCTTCTTTCACATGGCAAGTTACTCTTACATTACTCGTATATAGTGTAACTTTTAATTTCATTGTATTTTAAGTAAAACTTTGGAGCTGGGTTAGTGCCCTCCTTTCCCCCCTTCTCACCCGTAGTAGTAAGTGTACTGAGCATGTGTAGACTGAAGACCATCCAGTATACTCCTAGATAAAGCAGATTTATTCTATATCTTTTTGAATATGCTTGACAGGCGGCAGTCACAAGTTCTGCAGACCAATCGGTACAGTATTTTTGTTTCTTTTTTTGTCTCTTCTGCCCCCATCACAATCCCCTCTCTCTGAATGGCATGTTGCGCCACTACTGCTATTGGAATCTTTTAGAGCTCAATCTCAAGCCATAGACACTGCTACAGAGTAATGAGCTGGGTCCTTGTGTAGGAGTAAGGTTGAGACAAACTTGAAGAAAATTGAAAAGGGACTACAGCTTGCACCGACATGATTGTGACCATAAAGCATGTCCATCGGGCCATAAAAACGGTTTCTACTCAAGCATGCCAAGCCAGAATATACTCCGACGTATGCTCATGTGAACCTCTAAAGTTTGATCCTTCATAAACATTTCTCTCCCTCCTCCATCCTGACAATTAATTTCACAGTCCGCCCTTGTTCAAACATTACCTCCCTTGGCTTCTCTTCCATCAGTCTGCTGTCCGAGTTTTACGATCCCTGTCCCTGCAAATTGCCTCAAAAACACATATTTGTTTTGTCCGTTTCTTGTTGTTTTCACTGTCATATGATTGGTGACTACCCTAGCAGGGGAAAGAGGTATGTAGAGAAGTTGTCCCGCTCTTAATGCTTTGTGCATGTCCCGTAGACTGAGTTATGATGTCATGCCCACCCTAAGCATCAGTGCTGCCCTCTATGGACTGCTATCTATATGACACTATTGCCTTGATATACAGCACTGTGTTTATGGCTGAACACTGGGTCAGGGTCTTGAATGTGTTCCCCCTATGTGTTGATCCAAGCGTGGGGTTTGTCCTCGACCGGTCCCTTTTTTACCCCGTCATAGAACCACTCCATAAATGTGATGGAGAAAACAGCTTTGTTTGCTGCCTGTTTTTATTTCATTTGGAAGTATGTTTGTGTGCCTCGAGAAGGTAAGTAGAGAGGTAAGTGACAGATTGTGACGGCTTGACACAATAGTTACAGGCCACATTTCAATAAATTAAAATGTTGTGGGGAAATTTAGAAAACTTAAAATGCAGACAGGAGAATTATGTTTAAAGGTGCATTCTTCAACTGCCCTGGTGGCGACCTGCTTTTTTGTTTGGTTTTATCTAAATTGGGTATGTCCCAACTGAGACCAGCGAGCCAATTGTGGCAATTAGATTATACATGCAAGTTCACAGTGTCCTCAGCCAACTTCAGCTGTGCCAATTTAGACATGCTATCCCTCATTGTTGACTCTGGTAAAGCCCCATTGTTTATTTATTTTTATTAGATGGCAAGTCTCATATATGGCACTATCAATAGGATGTATGTATGGCATACGAGATTGTAACTTCAGCTCTGGCAATATGTAGGGGCCAGAAAAGGAAACCACCTACAATATCTTCTCCCATAAAGGATTCATAACACAAAATATTTAGCATTTTAAGTTAAAAGTGTTTTGAATCCAAAGAAATGCCAACATAAAAGGGGAATAGACTGATAAATTGTCAATGTTTTGTTTGGCAATACGAACTATATATCTTGAGTAGAGGCTTAGTTTGTTTTGGCTTACCAGCAGCATAAACAATAGCCATGAATAATAAAGAAGTAAGTAAGTTTTATTTATATACCGCCTTTTCACTGCACATTGGAGTCTCAAAGCGGTTTACAATTGTTTTTTTTTTTTTTTTGGGAGTGGGGTGCCAGTACAGGAGGCACATGCCAGACCTATTGTACATATTTTTAGTGGTAGGGTAAACCGGAGCACCCGGAGGCAACCTACGCAGACACGGGGAGAACATGCAAACTCCACTCAGAAAGGCCCTGGTGAGAAAGGGACACTAGTGAGAAAAAGACCGACACATATTCTGTTTCTTGCCCAGGTTTAATGACTATTGGCATGAAAATCTGCTTATATGTTGATACAAAATGATCTGCAATCCCCATAGTGAACTCCTCATAATATTATTTTTTATTGACTTGGGCCTGCTTGATAGATAGAATAAATAAATTGCAAGTATGCGCATGCAGCACTATTGGAAGAAAGTATTCAGACTTTTGAACTTGGCAACGTGAATGAAATGCACAGGAGCCAAGCTGAGACTGCCTGCAAAGCACCTGCTGTAGTTCAAAAGGGCAAAGAGGCCCAGACTGTGCCAGCGTACAGTCAGCTGAATCCCAACGCTACAGTACTTTGTTAATTGGAAGTGACACGCTATAGAAATGATGCTATGTGCTGCAGTCCTCGGCGTGCTTTATGAAACGCGCATGTTTTACATTCACATCAGCAGGAGAAATGCAGAGTTGTGGCAGCGATGTGAATGGTACATAGAGGCCTTGACTCTTTAAACGACACAGAAAAGCATGGGGCATTTGCATGAGAGAAGCTAGTCTGGAAAAAGAGCATAAAACACATCAACACACTCCTAAAAAGTCCAGAGCTGTGGATTGCAGAACACGGGGACTGGGGGGGGATGCATAAACACATGGGAAATGGCACTAGACATCTCTCAAAAAGCAAAACATAACATGACAAAGCATCATGGTAATGGAGCTTCTCTGTATTAAAGCTGGAGTACCTAACTTTGAAACCACAAAACCACATAACAATGTAATACAATGCATATAACTAGATCCTCCTCTCACAAAACAATTTTTCACATTCATGTATTTTGCCTTGTGGCATGTATTTAGATCAGCATTTTCAGTGAGAAAGAGTACCAATGAAGAATACCAGTATCAGCTCTTAGTGTACAAAAAATGTTTCCTATTAATATAAAAACACTATGTTGTTTTCTGATTTATAGCAGCATTTTACTCAAACAATATTCTTTCTGTTGGTATAAACAAAATGCATTTATGCAACCAACACCTAAAAATGTTTGGCACTCCAGCTTGAAGTGACAAAATGAATAAACAAACAAAAGCATTCATGCACACCAGTATTTATCGCTCTTCAAAGAGCTCTCTGAGTTCCTTCTTTTATCCGACATATGTCTCACCTGTGCTCTTGCTTGTCCATGTCTCCCATAGGCTTTTGCCTGGTGGACAGACTTGATGGTAGAACATGCAGAGAACTTCCTGGCCCTCTATGCCATCGACATGGATGCTGCTCTGGAGATCCAGTCGCCCGAGAGCTGGGACAGCTTCCCCCTCTTTCAGCTGCTCAATGACTACCTGCGAACAGACTGTGAGCCCCCTACTGTTCACTAAACACACTGCACCAGCACTTCAAACATGACATTTTACCATTTATGGAACATAACCTAATTCTTGTTTATCAAAAGAGAGCTAATGTGTTTTGGTGTTGATGATCACGGCTAAAGAGCCTAAACAAATATGTATCTGCAGTGTGTGTGTGTGTGTGTGTACATAATATACATATTTTCACATTCTGAAACTAATTATTCATGTGCACTTACATTTAAACTACAGTTTGTCTTTTAAAGGCATACAACTTTGTTTTGATCTATGCTGCCCTCCCTCTCCCTCTTTAGACCATCTGTGCAACGGAAAGTTCCATAAGCACCTGCAGGACCTGTATGCGCCTCTGGTGGTTAGATATGTGGATCTGATGGAGTCCTCCATCGCACAGTCTATCCACAAAGGCTTTGACCGCGAGTCCTGGGAGCCTGTCAAGTAAGGGCCTGCAGTTTGTAGCTCAGCCGTAGCCTGTCTGGAGACCTGCGGCGTTTGTTCTGACGGGCCGACCGCATGGAGCGAGAGAGAGCTTCTGCCTCTCTGTAGTTTCAGGAGTATTCACAACGAAATGTTTTCTTCTTCAGTGAAACAATCCTGAAAGCTCTAGCATGTGGTAAACCAACACTTAGCATAGTTGTGGTAACACTCAACACTCTAGGGTCAGGCCAATATGTCTGTGGTTCTGTTATGTGGACTAACCTTCATGATATGTGTGTTACGCATGTGACGTCGGCTATTTATTTATTGTTGTTTATTTGCTATTTTACTTTTACATTTGCATCACAAGTATAAATATTAAACAAGACAAGATACACATTTGAGATATGTTTTTTATTTGCTTTCTACCTCATCTAATATGTTAAATGTTTATATTTGTTCCACTTGTTTTTTACTATGTATAATATGTCTTATGTCTCTCTTAATGTCAGCAACATCTGTCTTTATTTGGGACTTTTGTTTGAAATGAATGTTTACATGGCTTTGTACCACTCTCATGCCACTGTTATGGATTCTTTATATTTTTCTTTTTGTCTGTCTTTTTCTGCAGGAGTTTAACAAGTAATCTGCCCAATGTGAACCTACCAAATGTGAACCTCCAAATTCCCAAAGTACCAAATCTGCCAGTGCCAGTAGCTGGACTATCAGTTAACCTTCCACAAATGCCTAGCTTTTCAACCCCGTCATGGATGGCTGCTATTTATGACTCTGAGTGTGTATTCAATACTAGTACACTTAATAGATCTATTACAGACTGGCCTTGGTATGAAGATGTCCCAAAACGATATAGTGTTATCATACATATTTAAACATTGACAAAAAATACCTTGGCCCTAACTGTAATCAATTTCATCTTCATGCCAAGGACTTTCTGAGGGGTGTATAGACTAGATGGGATTTGAAAATGAGTGACTGGCTGCACTCATTTGCCTTGACTTGCATGCTGTGCGGAGATACAAGCAAGCTAACATTTTGGGATTTCAATTCACTTCAGTTGTGTATCTCCAAAGCTTATAATCAAACGGCTATCAGCACAACTTTTTGACTTTCCTGATTGCGGTTGATTGGTGTGCTTGGAAATGCTACAAACAGTTGGCCTCAATGACCCAATCAGCGCTAGTCACAGGAGCCAACAAGCCTGCATGGTTTTTTTATACCAAAATATTTCAGGTGACCCCCACCTGCTTGAAGATATGGGTAATGAGAGAGGGCTTGTGGTTTTAGATAAAATTTAAAATATCTTGAAGAAAGAAAATAACAGCATAAATTTAGTTTGACGTGCCCTCCCTCACTGCTCAAATCATGTTCCTTTTGTCTTGACACTTGTGACTCGAGCTGCAGTGACGTACCTGCATGTGGCCACTTCACTACTCGTAACAATAACTATATCTGCATGGTTATTGTTCCACTCTCAACCCCTGCCTGCTCGCATTCACCCATACACTGACTGTCAACCCCCAAAAAAAATTCATTTCACCAGTCAGTTTATGGAGGGAGTGACAGTTAGCCCCACCTCCTCACCCATGATCCCTTAATGCTTCTATACGACTGACATTTTCTAACATAAAGTGTGTGTTGTTGCTGCTGATAGTAATGGCTCTGGGACGTCCGAGGACCTCTTCTGGAAGCTTGACGCCCTGCAGACATTCATCAGAGACCTGCACTGGCCTGAGGATGAATTTGCCAAGCACCTGGAGAGCCGCATACAGCTCATGTCCAGCAATATGATCGAGAACTGCGTCAAGCGGTGAGTTTCGCCATGCACAACCCGGCTACAAAACAATCCACACCAACAGTAGCAACGCTCCCAGGCAGTTATGTCAAAGGTGAATGCATATTTCATAGAACATAAATATTTCATGTTCACTTTGCAGCACCAGGATGGCCTTCGAGTCGAGACTGACAAAAAGCAGCAAGTCCACAGATTTCCGCATCTCTCCAACATTATGCACCATGTTCAATGTTATGGTGGATGCCAAGGACCAATCAGCCAAGCTCTGTGCAATGGAGATGGGCCAGGAGGTATGACAAACTGAAGATAAAACACATATTCCCATTTCTCCCTGGAGCACAGACAATAATGGTATAATCTCTTCATCATTTGTGTGAAATGTACAAAGTTCGTCTATTCTCAATAAATGTGTATGTTTATTTAAAAGCAAGCACATTTACAACACAATTTGGCCCAAAAAATAACATGTTTTGAAACATTTGGATGGATGAACCAGACGCTTATAAACTTTCAACCCTCCTTTAGTCATTAAACACAGACAAGATGATATGGAACACAATCATTCTAGAACAAAGTTAAACAATCCACTACACTCACACACAGGTCCAGACACTCTCTGACCCAACACCTGTCCCCCAGTACTCTCTCTGTTAATTGTGAATTCTCCTTATTATTTTACTGTCTCCTGTAATAGCATGTATGCAGTAGTTGAAAGACATTTTGATCACATATTTAGGTTAATTATATTTTTCTGGGACATTCTTGATTATTTGTGAATTAGAACACATTATCCATTGCTTTACAGAAACAGTACCACACCCAAATTGATGAGCTGATTGAAGAAAGTGTAAAAGACATGATCCAGTTTCTGGTCGCTAAGGTGAGGTTTTTTCACAGCAAACAAACACTATCCACTTCTGCTGTTTTAGATGTTAAAGAACATTGTCTTTGGTCTCACAAAAATGTAGTTTGTTGTGATACTGGAGAGTGTCCTGGCCAAGATTTCCAGATACGATGAAGGAACACTCTTCTCCTCATTCCTCTCATTCACGGTGAGACTGACACTGCCTAAAAAAACAGCCATTCCGTTACTCCATAAAAGCACATTTGTGTTTTAAAGAGGGTGAAATTCTGAATTTTTGTGATTCCATTATGTGATTCCAGGTCAAAGCTGCCTCTAAATATGTGGAAGTACCTGTAAGTCTCCCGTTGAGTCGTAACCAGAGTGGCACAGCATGACGCTCTGGTCTAACGCTCCCTGCCTTTTCAGTACATGAGCATCATGAGGCCATGTGTGACTGACCCTGTTGTTTTTGCCTCCGCAGAAGCCCGGGATGGACGTGGCTGATGGCTATGTGACCTTTGTGCGCCACTCTCAGGATATGCTTCGTGATAAGGTCAATGAAGAGGTGTATATAGAAAGGTTATTTGATGTAAGTAGATGCCTTCTCCTCCTCACTCATACGGGAGGGGCCATCCAAAATGTGGAAAAACAAACAGGGCAGAGAGGGATAAGTCCCATTTTGAGCAGGACATGTTCTGTGCCTGGAGAGAGGAACTACTTTCTCTGTCTTTCTCTGTCTGTCTCTCTCAGCTCTCAGCTGCTGCCCTCTGCATTACTGTTGTACATTGCCACAGTGCTTTTGGGCCTTTGTGTATTCAAAAAGTAATGACTTTTATTTACAAAGAGTCCATAAAAGCATCCTGAGTAAAGGATTATCACAAGCAGTGCTTTCTGGAAAGAACAGAATAATTATCTATAAGGAGCTCTAATAATGCACCACATGTACCACGCTGCTCTGTGCTTTCACATGATACAGAAAACATGGCAACCTCCAGGAGAGAAACCCCGTCCACAGTGCAGCACCCAGGACATTTGCGTATAACTCAAATGCCGGGAGTCAAAAACACTGCTGGATCCTCCTGATAGAAAACAGAGAGGCTGACATGTTGTATACCCTCTGCCAAACTTGTGGTTCCCAACCAGTGATACTTCAGACTGTGCATTTCCTTATACACATTTAAACTGATAGCTCTTCTTGTATTGTAAGAGCATAAAGGGAATGGAATTATTAAATAATCAAAAAACACCCAATGCAATACCTTCAACATTATAATGTGTGCCTATTTCTCAAAACTCAAAAATGAACATGCAAGTAGATGTTGTACAATGAAAATAAGGAAATATAGTCTGAGTTGGCTACAGTGAGTTGAGGCTGGGGACCATCCAGACAGAGGGTCAAGAGAGCACTGTTTTCCTCCCACATAATCCTGTTGGATACATCCACATGAATGTGTCCTCCATGTGTAACACTGCACATACTGCTGTGATGTTTGTGCTTCATTTTCATGAACGATGGACACAGATCCATGTCTCCTTTTCCAGACATGGTTCTGTGTCTCTGAAGATGCTGTGTTTGGTTCGTTGTTTGTCTTCTGCACTGGGTCAGACAGATTTCACTATGTCGGAGTCAGGACTTATATATGTTATCTATGGGGCTGTATGTCTAGAAGATCCACTCCTGCAATTTTGCTTCTCCCCAAAATACCTTGTCAGCACTGTCATGTGACTTCTGAGAAATATGTGTCAATGTGTCAGGTTTAGACTTGTTCTTCGATTCGTTTGCTTCTAGGATTTCATTTGAACCCATCTCTCCATGTGCATGCCGACTAAATGTTGCACTAAATGTTGCACAAGCCTCTTCCTGGTCTATCTTTCTTTCACTGGTTTGAATCTTCTTCTTCATTCTGTTTCTTATTAACGCCATTCCTGCTGCCTCCTCTATTCAAAAAGTGGCACTTATCTCTAGTGTTGCGTTGCGTTGTTTTATCACATTATGTTGGTCGGCATGAGTTTTAGAGTCAGATAATCTTCCTGTGTACATCTCTTAGCATGACCCTTCTCCTCAGAGCATTTTGTACATACTGGACATGGAGCAGTATTTCCAGCCGTTGTGAGGAGTGCATTCTTTCAGGCGCAGAACTGCAAGAAAAGTGCCTTTGCTTTGTGTGTTTCATTTGTGCCATCACTAAATAAGGTGTTGCTACAGTTCTTAGAGGGATACAAGACGACTCACAGGGTTTTGGGATCTGTGAAATCTAGCACAAACCGAGGGTTGTTTAAACAGCAATGGATCAATGATCAAAGTAAAAGTGTTTGACATGATGGATCACACATGACTGAGGCACTCTTGCTGCAGTTGTGCGTTTGTTCAAGTGGCTCTTTCATGCGGCTGTTTTTCCTCTTCTTTCCGCACGTGTTCGGCCTCCACCTGCCAGGTCTGCATGCACTGCATGCTCAACTCGACTGTGAAGTGGACAGGCATCAACCAACTTCCAAATCAGAAAAATAACACAACACAAAACCCAAAACGAACATTAACGTAACAGTACGTTTGGGCCTAAATACCTGATCTGCATTCCTGCCTACTCACAAGTTAAAAGTTGATTTATTTTCTTCAAGTTTGATTGCGTATGTTTCTTAAAGACTTTTGAAGGTGCTTTTCTCTTGTACACTTTGTAGACAGTAAATTACAGTAGATTGAATTTCCTATCATGGGGAAGCAATCCCAGCACCTGAATACAATACATCCTGTAAACATAAATACAACTAATACAAGAAAATAGCACCGCCGCTCCCTGCCTGCTAACATGCATTTACTCACTCACTCTATTTTTCTTTTGCAAAAACCTTTGTCTAGATAAGAATATAATTTCAATCCCTTGTAGTGGTTTTCCATCTTTGCCACCTAGTCCCAATAGATTCTGAATAAGATAAGTTTTGGTAGATTTGTCAGGTTTTCACTGATCATCTTAGACCTTAAGGAATCACCAGTTCAAAAATACATTGTTCAGGCAGAACATAATGACCATGATGAAATAAAAACACATTGTTCCATTGTCATTCTAACAGAGCTTCAACAGACTACGTTCTCTATTGGCTGGTGCTGTAATGTTTTGCCTGAGCTCTGTATTTTAACTCTATGTCAATTCAACCCCTTTGATATTCAGATGTGTTTTTCCAAATTGTTAAAACTCCTCTTTTCTCTAGCTTTTTGCTGTACAGTAGAAGAGTGTGTGTATGGGTGTGTGTCTTTGTGCATGTTTAGAGAAGCAGTGAATTTTCAAACTATGGAGAAGTTTGCACACTCCCACAGGTGCAGTCCCAGTGCTGCTCTTTTATTTAGGAGCGGAGTTGTACCAGGCAACAGCGGCCTGCTTAAATCATACACCTGCAATAATCAAACATAGTCAAAGCCCTTACTGTTGGTTTAGAAAATGAATCTCCTTGCATCATATACGTTTTCCCAAGTTTTTTCAGATCTCTTGTATATTTAACTAAAAAAATCAATAGCTCTGACAAAAATCCCATTTTTGTTATTTGGAAATTCATGGATTCTGTCTCTTTGTACATGAACTGCAATGTACCCAAGAGAGACACTGCACCACATCATGACAGGAGACAGTAGAGACAAGAGACACGTGGAAAAGTCAACTGAAAAGAAAGTTTTAATAAATGAGTCTTTAGTGTGCTCTTAAATAAGCTCCAGGAGTTCTCCATTTACAATGAGCACAATGAGAAAAGGCAGATACTCTTTAACACAAGGGACTCCGAGAAGATTCAGGCCCGACGATCCGAGACTACACAAGTTCATAAGGCATAAGTAAATTAATACCGTATATAATTTCCAATTTGTAATAAGTTAAATTATAAACCTTACAAACCTTTAGAGTATAGTTGTCTTCCATTTCATCAGCTTTAACATTTTTTATAAACAAGGATAAACAAAACACTAGTATTGATACACAATTTTACATTTGGACTGATTAACAATTTTAAATGTAGATTGATTAACAATTATACATTAGGAGGAATAAAAAGATTGACATTGTATTGAAAAGTAATTGTATAGGTTTGATTATCCCCCACAAGCATTTTGAAATATCTACAAATGCTGTTTCTAAAGAGGGATGTCATCCACACATAGAAGCCCACAGAAATGTCAAGTCTTATCTATTACTGGATGCATTATCATTTTCTACCTTTCTTCCCAAATGTTGCTGATGTTGGTCCCAGTTATTACATATCCCGGATATATTTTTTCAACGTCACGTCTGAGCCACCTGAAGCCTGTAATGTCCCCAATTTGGAATCTTCCAGAGGCTGGGATTGTGAAAGCAGCGGTCCATTGTCTCATGTGCTGTGTGTGAGTGAGTGTTTTCTGGAGAGTGTCATGTCTGTGTTGCAGCAATGGTACACTGCCACCATGAACCTGCTGGGGACCTGGCTGACCGAGCGCATGGACCAGCAGCTGCACGTCTACCAGCTCAAGATTCTCATCCGGATCACAAAGGTAACCTCCAGTCACTGCAGGGGAGACTACAGTGGCAACATTAGGATGACCAAATACTGGGTTTCATGTTTCATTTTTATTATAAATATAAAATAAATGGGACATGATAGCTGCAGTATGGATGTTAACATTGTCTGTGTTGGTCTGAAGCTGATGATCAACGTAGAAAGCAGAATTAGTATAACCCCCGTCTCAATTGGGTTGCCAGTTTCTTTGAATGAAATCTATTTAGTTCTGTCTAAGAAGCATTCACCTTTGTGCAAAAGATTTGTTCATTGTGTTTCCTCGGAATACGGCCAAGTAGAAACACCAGTCCCGAAGGCAGGTTGAAGTGAGGTGAATTACTGAATTGAGACTCTGTGCTGTTGCTCTCCAAGTCTCTTCTGTTTCCCTGAATTGTATTTGTCATAATATTTCAAAACTAAGTTACACATACAGTTCATACAATCCAATACTAACTAAAAATAGGTAATACACACTACACAATGTTGCTGCATCTTACCATGCACATTTGCAGCATTTTTTGAGAGCTTTCTATTTCTATTTAAATAGAAAGCTATTTAAAATATAAATGGCTAAATGTTGAAGGGGTTGCACGGGCAGAGACGATTCCCAGTGTGGGACGATAAAAGGTTTAGTTATGTTAAAATGAATGTTTTTGTCTGTACAGAAAAAGTACCGGGACTTCCGCCTGCAGGGCGTTCTGGACTCCACACTGAACAGCAAGATGTACGACACGGTACGGAACCGGCTGACGATGGAGGAGGCCTCTGCATCAGTGAGGGAGGGGGGCATGCAGGGCATCTCCATGAAGGACAGCGATGAGGAGGATGATGAGGACTAGACACCACCCTGACCCCTCCCTCAACACCCCTCACTTTTGACTTTAGCCTGGTTACCGATGCATGTACCAACTCAGATAGCCACTCTAGGACCTCTTTGTCAGCTCGAAATGCCTATGAAAGAACTAATAACTAAAAAAATAGTACTTATCATGAGGAAGTAAAAGTGTAAAAAAATAACTTTGATTGGCAATTTAGCTGTGCCATGATGAAGATAGCACCTATCTTTGATTCATTCATTTCTAAATTCATTTCTATGTGTTAATAAGCAATATGGAGAACCATTTGTTTGACGATGTTGAGTGAGATTAATAGGTGTGTCCCTGTCCAATGCAAACCTATATGGCGCTACTTTGTCGTATCTACATTCATTATGGTACATTGTCGTGAAGATGAGTGTGTGGACCCTTTTTTTTTGTCTTGTCTGTTTTAAGTGAATGCCAACTGCTTCAAACGGAAAATAAAACTCTGTATTTGTTTAAGGCTGTCGCAGATAAACGTTGTCTACTGTTTAACATCAACAGTTTGTACCATGTGTCTGCGCTCTGTGCTCATCAACCACCGATTAGACACTGAGCTCCAGTTCTATAGAGATGCAATATTCTCATGGCTCCATTTTGATAACAGGAGATTATATTTTTATTTCAACATTAAAGGCCTTGGAACAGGTTCTATTGATATTTTGTTGCACTTTTACAGAGAAAAGAGCATAATTTTTTTAACTGGAAAAAAGTTGGTCCGTCTTTGTTCTGTAATTGTGTAGAATGAGATGTCTGGCATTTGTTTGGGTCTCACTGTTGTTTTGTATATATGATATAAATATATATAAATATAAAATGCTGTACATTGCATTCTGAGCCATTGCTGCATGCCTGTAGGTTCCTGCCCTCCCCAAACGCTTTGTTATCTGTGTCAATTAGCTGGTCCATTCATTCTTGCTTTTGCCTTATGAAAAGCCAACAGTTGTAATATGCAAGAGCTGTGGCCTCGAAATAAAATTATTGTACATGTGTTTCCTCTTGTCTATATATTTGTGGCCAGTAGAGAGCGCTAGCACAACAGACAGGAGGCAGAAGTGATCCAACGCACCAATACCATGGCTCATCCAAACCCTTTATTTGAGTACAAATGACCTCTCGAATAACACTAGCACAGCATTATATGGCATATACCATCCCTGTATGAACAATCTCTTATTGTAATGCAACGACGCCAGAGGAGCGGGATATATTAAGCAGAAAACATGTACAGATTCATTACAAAATAGACTTTGAACCTGGCTCAAGTACTGGAAATCTGAAGTCATTTGGGTGGTGGATTTCAAAGAACTGGACATACATTCTGTTAAGGTCCACTTTACAAACCACTGCTTTGTATAAAAATAGAAACTAAAAAGCAGAAATGTACAGGTCAAGCCACCGCACAGAGATCTACAAGAAGAATACACAAAGTCATACAAAGCAACCAATGTTTACTGCAAAGAAGTGGGCGAGTGTGGAATTAAAGAAACTCAATACAAGATGGACAATTCCATACGACAGGCGGTGTCGGGAGAAAGGAATGTTTAAGGTTAGTGTGAATACAGACTGTGAATCCGATTCATCTATAGGTACATACAAAGCTTCCATTTCTGCACTAATAAACTGAAGCTGATAAATAGACCACATAACCACATCTTTGGTTACAAATAAAGCATAAACCCGAGAAATAGCAGCAGTGCCTTTGCAAAGTGTTCAGCCTTCTCTGCACAATGTGAAGCTTCTTACGTCAGTGAACAATGGGCTGTGAATCATACAGGACCAGAGAAATGATTTTGTTCTGCCATAGAAAATGTCGATGATAGGCCAGTTTTGGCTAAAAGCAAAGCACCATTAATAAACACAGACAAGGCACTGAACAGTTCCACCACGACTTCACATATGGCACAGCACTAAAGGAGATTTGTAAAGTACAAAAAAGAGCAGAAGCCACACACTCAGTGTTTTTTAAGTCTTTTTCAATTGCTGAGGAAGGAAAGTGTGACAGCGTGGCACGTCCTAAATATAGTCAGCCAGAGCACTCCAGCCGTTACATCAAAACTGGTTTAAAGCAGAACCAGTTTTGAAGTAACACAATTATATTTTCTATATTTGTACAATTGCGATGCTTGATGACAAAAAACTCCTTTGATGAATACAGGCGAGCGGTTTAACTTAAATGACAGCTTTTATCGTTTTTTGAGAGGCAAGACTTTGCATAGGCACTGCACCGTGTAAATACGCAGATGATCGTTGACTATTGAGGTTAGTAACAGGGGCAAATAAAACTTTATAATTCTCCATATATAAAACTGAGTTACAAATTAAGACAATGCAAAAAGGTCAGTGGACAAATAGATAAAACGACAAAGAAAAAAGTACACTGGCTGGCTATAATAGATACTATATATATTACAAAACAATATAACAATATACATAAATCCCTGCAAAAGCAATAAATGTTCACATTATATGTATTAACACACTTAAAATAAGCAATAATTATAAGTACAAGTTTTACAAGACAGTAGTGAGTTTTGGACAATATATCAATAATATTAAGTGACCGATATAAAGGCGGAGTGGCTGTGACTGACGGCATGCGGCGGCCTGTAGTGGTGACTGTGGCTGGATTACATGTCCTCCTCGTGGTCCTTCCTCGTGGGTCTCTGAGTCCGTCCCTATGGGGTCACAGGCCCAGGTCTGCTGCCACGATGACCGGTTTCTTTTAGGCAGTAACACTGATAGTATAGTGCAAACTGGACAAAGCGGCTTCATCCTCACAAACTTAAAACGACGGGTGCAAACGCTCTGCAGGGAGATGCTTAAGATAAAGTAAATCAAGATCAGGAGAAGAAAAACAAAAACATAAATATCAAAAGACTTCATCAGTATAAAAGTAATAAGTTCATTTGTTTTAATCAATAGTCTGGCAAAAAAAGGCCTCCGAAAAGTCTGTATTTTTTTTATACAAATTTAAGTGCGAATGTCTTCAGACCAGGGACTCCATGCTCTCGGCGGGGTCTGACTCGTCTGCCATCACCACCAGTCCGTTAGTGTCCATGTACAGTGCACTCAGGCCGCTCTCCCGGCTGCTCACCAGGCTCAACATGGCTTTGTAAAGGTACTGGTACTGCTCCTGCAACACAACAAACCCTCATTATGCAGCAGGCCGGCCGCAGATCAATAACGATACTGCTTTGCTTTGCTTGTTCCGTGTGGTCTGACTCAAAGAGCAAACAACTTCTGATGTAAATCTACTTGTTTTTTTGTGTGCAGCTGTACGGTTTCTAATGTGCGGCTCAGGGCGCAACATCAAACAGAGCTCAAAGTCGACTCGACAAGTGAAAAAGATAGGACCTTGTATAATGAACCAGCACTTTTCACTTCGGTGCAGACCAGAGGGTTCCGAGCCACTTGTCTTCACCGCGCTACAGGTGTTTTTCATCATGAACTACTCTTTCACAGGCAAAATGTATGTTCCTATTGAATCTCTTTATCTACCAAATAGGGCTGGGATAAACGATTATTTTTTAAACGATTAATCTAGCGATTATTTTTTCGATGCATCGATTAATCTAACGATTATTTTTTTCGCTTCGATTCGATTTCGATTTGATTCGATTCTCGATTATCTCCCCATTAATTGACTAATATTGATGTATACATGTTGATTTAAATATTTTAATGAAAAAAACCTGAATTCCTTCACAAAAAATATGTATTGCTTGCTCTTAAAATTAAAAAATAAGACATTCTTAGAGGTAGCATAAAACCTTAAAGCCTTGAAAACACAGCTTACTGAAAAAAGTGCATCTTATCATTCTTGAAACAAACATTTGATGCTTAGCATTCAATAAAAATATGAAAAAGTTCAGCCAAATACTTGTGTAGAGCAACTAAAAGAAAACAGTAACCAATGTAAACTTGAAGGCTTTAAGCTAAACAAAGAGTGTTTTTCCAGCAAAAACAGTGGGAGCCATCAGCCTGTCATGGCTACATAAGAGTGTAGAGTGGCCACAGGACGCGTCATCAGCCTACGTCAGCAGCCGGGGACTGCTATGAAAACATTAGCTTTGTGGTTTCACAGGCGCAGTTGACTGCTTAAACTAAACTTTGCACGAAACTTTGACTCTTAAAACCCACATGTGACAAAACGGAACCATCAACATATCGCCTCAAATTGCATTAAAAGTGACATTCGTGTCTGAATTCGTTCGTATTTTAACTTTTAAAGAAATTCACGGTCCGCCATCTTGGTTTGCTTCGGCTGCCGTGAGACGCGCATGCGCAGGTTTGCATTACATGATAAACAGCTGAGGCTGTGCATCTCTTCAAGACAGTGTATCTCAGCGTTACACCGGCTTGCACTTCTCTAACACGGCACTTGCATTGCTACCGCTCGCCGCCATCTTTGTTTTGTGTGTGACGCACCGACGCGCATATTATACGTCGGTGTATTTTTTGCGTCGACGTCACCGATTACGTCGACGCGTTGTCCCAGCCCTACTACCAAACATATGTTAGAGAATGAACAGAAAATAATTGTAATTACTTTTAAATTGCATTATTATAGTACTATTGAATTCCATATTACTTTCATCTCAAATGGAAACACTTTGTATGATAATGGTAATAACAATAATGTATTGTTTTTTATATTTATGTATTTATTTAGCGCTATCAGGACACTAAAAGGCACTTCACACGTCATACACGGTGGTGTAAAACTACTGTAGCCACAGCTGCCCTGGGGCACCCTGACCACACCAGACTAATTCTTGGCAATGCGTATTAAGTGTCTTGCCGAAGGCCACGACAGTTTGGCCCTTTACAGCCACCCCACCGTGGCACCGGCTGTTTCCTGTGGTCTCCCATCACAGTACTAACCAGGCCTTGCCCTATATGGCTTGTTTATGGTCGAACAGGATCTGGCTTTTGCAGGACCACAGTTCATACTTAGAGACATGAAAGGCAACATTAAAATCACACATTAAGGCATTTCCATCATGAATAATAACAGTGCATTTAGACGAAAATGAAGAGACTAGTTCATATGTTGTCAATCTGTTTTGTTATTATAAGATTTTCTCAAGAAGGGGTGAAACTAAAATTGTATGGAACTAAAATAGATCCTCTAACCATGGCAACTGGATGAATGAAAGCTTTTAATGTCAACAAATTGTAATACCTTCTTAATAAATTATAGACGCCCGGGGGCTGCTCTGACAAACAGTTGTATCCTCATAAATATTCCTTTTACTATGAGCTAGTAAAAAAAAAAAAAAAAAAATCACCATTTGTTTTTCTTTCTTTGAATTCAATTGCTTTTATCTATTCAATGGTTGTCAGTGGAACAATATACTGATTATTTCTCAATTTTATATTTCTTCATCTGTAACATTTAGAGATTCATACAAAAATGAATGCAAATGAGTGATAGCATGACAGCATAAAGACATTAGCTTTGTTTGTTTTTGACGTCTGCTTTTCTGCACTGGATTATGGAGTATTTGTGGAGTATCTAGTATCTTGTTTTAGGGCTATAAAAAGCTAATCTATCTTACTATATCAGTGAATACGCCCGGCCTCATGAGGTTGATCATCTTTGCGACCTGATAGACGTCCACCACTCCCTCGTTCTCCAGCTGCTGCGACAGAGTGGTTAGCGCACACAGCATCCCTGCAGACACAGCCCCACACCTGCGGCACAGAGATGGATATGCATGATTAGAAACATCTCGACATTATAAATATTCTCATCTGAGCAAACGCAGAGACTAAGAAACAGAAAACACATTCCATTAACCCTTTAATAGTTTCTGCATGCATTTGATTGATCACTCTTTCAGTCACTTTATCTACTTGAAGCTTGTAACGGAAATTTCACTGGGGCATCTCACTTAGTTTAAGGCACTTTTACCATCAAATTGAATCTCAACTATTTGGCAAAGACCCACATGGTTGAGACATAGACAAGAAAAAAATATTGTTATTAGCGCTCGTTGAAGAAAGAATGCAATTTCTTTCTTCATGGAGTGAACTTTAAAGGGTTAACAGGGAACATGAAAAGTACCATTCTAAAAATATACAGGCCCCCTTGAACCTTTCAACATTTCGCCACATTTCAGGCTTCAAACATCCATCCATCCATCCATTTTCTACCCTTTAATCCATTTCTGGGTCAGGGGGGTGGCAATCAGAGATGCCACCCAAGTCTCATAGCACCAGCCCCTCACTGTCCCTCTGCAGGTGGTGAGTCCACAGGAGGACGGCTGCTCTCTGAGTGTGAGCATAGCCTTGATCTTTCAGTGGGGGCTTTGGGCAAAGTGGGGTTAAGTGTCTTGCCCAAGGACACAAGGCTTCAAACATAAAGATATAAAAATTAAATTTTTTGTCAAGAATCAACAACAAGTGGGACACAATCGTGAAGTGGAACAAAATTTATTGGATAATTTAAACTTTTTTAACAAATAAAAAAATGAAAAGGGGGGCGTGCAATATTATTCGGCCCCCTTGCGCTAATACTTTGTAGCACCACCTTTTGCTGCAATTACAGCTGCAAGTCGCTTGGGGTATGTCTCTATCAGTTTTGCACATCGAGATACTGGAATTCTTTCCCATTCTTCCTTGCAAAACAGCTCGAGCTCAGTGAGGTTGGATGGAGAGCGTTTGTGAACGGCAGTCTTCAGCTCTTTCCACAGATTCTCGATTGGATTCAGGTCTGGACTTTGACTTGGCCATTCTAACACCTGGATACGTCCATTTGTGAACCATTCCATTGTAGATTTGGCTTTATGTTTTGGATCATTGTCCTGTTGGAAGATAAATCTCCGTCCCAGTCTCAGGTCTTTTGTAGACTCCAACAGGTTTTCTTCCAGAATGTCCTGTATTTGGCTCCATCCATCTTCCCATCAATTTTAGCCATCTTCCCTGTCCCTGCTGAAGAAAAGCAGGCCCAAACCATGATGCTGCCACCACCATGTTTGACAGTGGGGATGGTGTGTTCAGGGTGATGAGCTGTGTTGCTTTTAAGCCAAACATATCGTTTTGCATTGTGGCCAAAAAGTTCGATTTTGGTTTCATCTGACCAGAGCACCTTCTTCCACATGTTTGGTGTGTCTCCCAGGTGGCTTGTGGCAAACTTTGAACGAGGCTTTTTATGGATATCTTTGAGAAATGGCTTTCTTCTTGCCACTCTTCCATAAAGGCCAGATTTGTGCAGTGCACGACTGATTGTTGTCCTATGGACAGACTCTCCCACCTCAGCTGTAGTTATCTGCAGTTCATCCAGAGTGATCATGGGCCTCTTGGCTGCATCTCTGATCAGTCTTCTCCTTGTTTGAGATGAAAGTTTGGAGGGACGGCCGGGTCTTGGTAGATTTGCAGTGGTCTGATACTCCTTCCATTTCAATATAATTGCTTGCACAGCGCTCGTTGAGATGTTTAAAGCTTGGGAAATCTTTTTGTGTCCAAATCCGGCTTTAAACTTCTCCACAACAGTATCTCGGACCTGCCTGGTGTGTTCCTTTGTCTTCATGGTTCTCTCTGCGCTTTAAACAGAACCCTGAGACTATCAAAGAGCAGGTGCATTTATACAGAGACTTGATTACACACAGGTGCATTCTATTTATAATCATCAGTCATTTAGGACAACATTGGATCATTCAAAGATCCTCACTGAACTTCTGGAGTGAGTTTGCTGCACTAAAAGTATAGGGGCCGAATAATATTGCACGCCCCACTTTTCAGTTTTTTATTTGTCAAAAAAGTTTAAATTATCCAATAAATTTCGTTCCACTTCACGACTGTGTCCCACTTGTTGTTGATTCATGACAAATAATTAAAATTTTATATCTTTATGCTTGAAGCCTGAAATGTGGCAAAATGTTGAAAGGTTCAAGGGGGCCGAATACTTTCGCAAGGCACTGTACATGCAATAATTTAACGTTTAAAATATAATTCGAAACATTAATTTGAAACATTGAACATTGTGTGGCATCACTGAAGCAAACTATGACCAATGGTTGAAACTTATTACAAAAGTAATACAAAGTTCAATATGTTTTGTTGCATCGGTTCTTGTGACATGTTTTCTAAATAAATGTTTTAACAACCAACCATAAACCAAGCCAATGCTCTTATATAATCATAATCAAGGATTCAGGAGGAGCAGTGAGGTTTTCGTCGTGGAGAGGTCCGTCCTCAAGTGGAGGAGTTCAAGTATCTCGGGGTCTTGTTCACGAGTGAGGGAAGGATGGAGCGTTAGATTAACAGGCGGGTCGGTGCAGCGTGCGCAGTGATGCGGTTGCTGTATCGGAGCGTTGTGGTGAAGAGGGAGCTGAACCGAAAGGCAAAGCTCTTGATTCAATCTTTGTTCCCTCCCTCACCTATGGTCATGAGCGTTGGGTAATGACTGAAAGAACCAGATCGCGGATACAAGTTGTCGAAATGAGCTTCCTCCGCAGAGTGGCTGGGTGCTCCCTTAGAGATAGGGTGAGGAGCTCAGTCAACTATACGAGGTGGCTCGATGCCTGAACACATGTCCCACCCAACTCAGGACACCCTGGAGGGACTAAAGTCTCTCAGCTGGCCTGGGAACTCTTTGGATGCCCCCCGGATGAGCTGCGAGGCAAACTCTCTACATTTTCAGTGGCACTACATTTGAATTTGGTGCCTGGCCGCTTCATTGACTCTGGAGAGCCACAACTGCTACAGATATAATTCTGTGGCTTAGGTTCAGGTGTCTAGCTATACAATTATAGTGTGTATAAACAAGTATGGAATGAGACTTGTGTGTAAACTATTGGTCCTCTGAGCAACGCCGTTTTTAGAGAGAACTTTCAAATGTTCTTGTGGGCAGAGTAAGACTGGGCCCAGGTGTTAAGTTGTCCTTTAATTGAACAAAACATGCTTTGCATTTGATTGACAAGTTGATTGTTTTAAAACATATTAATAATGACATTCCGATGTTTGTGTGTCCAATATACAAATTTAATTTCACATCCATCCATTTTCTTCCCCTTAATCCATTTCTGGGTCGGGGGGGCGGCAGTCAGAGCTGCACCCAGTACACAGAGCACCAGCCCCTCGCTGATCCTCCTGCAGGTGGTGAGTCCACAGGAGCTGAGATCTTTCAGTTGGGGCTTTGGGCAAAGTAGGGTTAAGTGTCTTGCCCAAGGACACAACGACAGCAGTCATCAGTGGGAGTCATGAAGTAGGTCTTGCGGTGGACTCGAACCCATGACCTTCAGGCCCAAAGGCCAATGCTCTTCCAACTGAGCTACTGTCGCCCTAATTAATTTCACAAATAAAATAAAATATTTTGAAGTTAACCAAAATAGATTTTTGCACAAAAACATTGATTAACATTTCAAATATTTATGAAATCTTAAAATATGTGTGAAACTATTTCAGGTATAATAGTATAATTTCACCATTGTGCTTGTGATTTTACTTATGAGAGAGAAGAAATTAGAAAATGCAAGATCTGTGAGGTTTAGGATTGTAAATGAAGGAGAAGAAACGCTTGTAAGCCTGGATTACACTCAATAACTAATGGTGCGATTGCCTCTGTGCAGTAATGCCGCCACTTTCTCCTCATAAAACATGTCAAAAGTTTAACAATTAAAGTAAAACACAGATTAGCATCTCAGTGTGCATGCGGTGTGTAGTCAATTACAGCAGAAAGCAGCCTGGTGCTTTAAATGGAGCACTAATTGTCAGGGCATCCCATAATGAAGACAACATGCTGATGCTGCCACTAATCACTGAGCGGCACTGGGAGAAAGTACATTAACTAAAACTAGAGCGTGTGCATAATTACACACAGGCTAATACTGATTAGTTCATTGTTTGTTTTGGAAGCAAATATTAAAGATATTAACACTTCACAATTCAGTAATTTCATTCTGCTAAACCAGGGGTGTCAAACTCATAATGGTCAGGGGCGGGATAAAAACATAGGGACTAGACAGGGGCAGCTCTCTGCAGGTCATAAGTCCCCCCCTGCGTGGTTCTGGGATTTTTGCTCACCGTTCTTAGGATCATTTTGACCCCACGGGGTGAGATCTTGCGTGGATCCCCAGATTGAGGAAGATTATCAGTGGTCTTGATGATTTCTTCACACCAAGCTGCATATCTATAGCAAATTCAGTCTTCCCAGTCGGGTGCAGGTCTACAATATTGGTCTTGACCATAGTGGAGTTTGGAGTGTGATTGTTTGAGGTTGTGGACAGGTGTCTTCAGCGCTTTAAGGGGGCCAGTACGCTTCCAAAAACGCTATTTCCAAAAATAGCTCTTGAGCGTACCGCCACCTCTTTGTGCGCCAAGAACATACTTTTACCACACAGGTATTTAGTCTATGACTGATACGCTCATTTGCGGAGGTTTCATTCCTAAAGAAGCTTTTGTATATGCTGCTCCTTCTACATGGTACGTGTTGCAAAAAGACTGGAAATGATCTGATCGTATTTCATTGAATGCTTTCAGATCCAGATTGAGAGCACTTGAGACATCTTCAGTGAAATGTAACCGTTTTTATAATCAGTAATTTTATGAAATTGTATGTGACTTTTATAATCGCGGATACAAGTGGTCAAAATGAGCTTCCTCCGCAGAATGGCTGGGCGCTCCCTTAGAGATAAGATGAGGAGCTCAGTCACACGGGAGGAGCTCGGAGTAGAGCCGCTGCTTCTCCACGTCGAGAGGCAGGAGGCCCCATGCAAGACCCAGGATACGCTGGAGGGACTCTCAGCTGGCCTGGGAACGCCTTGGGGTCCCCCCGGACGAGCTGGAGGAAGTGTGTGTGGATAGGAAAGTCTGGGCGTCTCTGCTTAGACTGCTGCTCCTGCGGCCCGGCAACGTATGAAGCGGAAGAAGATGGAATGGAATGTTTTATAATCTGCAATTGTATGTAATTTTTGTACAAGACTCCCTTGAAAACAAACTTCTTTTTGCTGCTGAAAGTAGACAGTCTAGTCTTTCAGACTCTGGTTTCATATTTTTCATAGTAATAGCACACAATATTCAGTGAGTCTTGAAAATCAATGAAGTCATCAAAAATGGCTGGCAGTCAATGAGACTGTGCTTTTTCACACATACAGTATATATAGTACACATGTACCCCAGTACACATATACCCCAGTACCCAGTGGACGTACTCGTCGTGCACGATGGTGGGCCCGTCGCGTGTCATGGCCTCCTCTTTGATGACACTGATGAGCTCGAAGGTGCTGCTCAGAGGGGCGTCGGGGTTGGGCCATTTGGGGCACTGAAAATGTCTGACCTCCAGCACATAATCGTCCTGTGAAAAAGAATGAGTGAAACTGAATGAATAAAAGCAGAAGCAGCAGGAGCAGCAGGAGCAGCAGGAGCAGCAGAAGCAGCAGAAGCAGCAGAAGCAGCAGAAGCAGCAGAAGCAGCAGGAGCAGCAGGAGCAGCAGAAGCAGCAGAAGCAGCAGAAGCAGCAGGAGCAGCAGAAGCAGCAGAAGCAGCAGAAGCAGCAGGAGCAGCAGAAGCAGCAGAAGCAGCAGGAGCAGCAGAAGCAGCAGGAGCAGCAGAAGCAGCAGAAGCAGCAGAAGCAGCAGGAGCAGCACGAGCAGCAGGAGCAGCAGAAGCAGCAGGGAGGAGGCCTCACCTGTGTGGCCTCCAGGATGAAGTCGTGGATGATGATCTGCTCCTCGTTGGACAAACACAGTCGGTCTTTGCTGATCAGAGTAACGGTGAAGGCGATACAGTTCATGGCCTCCTCTCGACTGGGCCAGTACACAAACTCATCCTCTGCCTGACAACAACAACAACACACAGATACACACACACACACTCATTATACAACACAACTTTATAAATATCACACTTATTACCAAGTTTCCAAAGTGATGCACAGAATGTATAAGAAGTACCAAGAATTAAACACAGCCACAAGTTGTACAATAACATGTAATGCTGTTAGTTCAATTAGATCTAAATAGAGACGCAAAAAAAGTACTTTGTGTATTGTTTATATGAATAAGCATGTTTATATATACCCTAAAACATTTTAAACATCCAAATAGTTAAAGGTATGTATATGCAGTGAGTGAACTTGAAATTAAGGTGTTTGAAAGACGTTAGATTGTACCAGTAATAACCAAAATTAGATTTAATAAATGATTAAGATTATTGATTAATGACTAAAATGGATAAAATCATTAGAATTTCAATGTCCACTCATATAGAAATGCAGTGGAACTCATTTCAATCTTGGAGTTATCCATTTAATATGCAATTCCCCTGAATGAAACATAACTTGAATGCTGAATGCTGAATTAAACTAAACATATCCGGGATACAACACGTCTTATTGATTTATTCATTGAAAATCCACCATGTGTTTTTACATACCAGGCCTTGGTTGTCAGGCAGCATTACAATAATCTGAGCATTATGGTCCCAAATCATTCTCCAAAAGTCTGTAGTGGTGTGGGGCAAAGGATGCTGGGTAATTATGAACTCATTACTGCGGTAGTATCCCTGGGGTGACAGAGCAGGGGTTAGCACCAGGAAAGTGGGTCCACATGACGTGAGAGCAGAAACAGCACTGTACCATTATGTAGGAGGCGTTAATGTAATCGGTTCCCTTCATCCCGGGCAGAGTGGTGAGTCCGACCCTGGCTCGCTCCGCTGTGGAGAGGCAGATTGGAAAAGCTCACGTTCTCGATATTGTTCGGCTGATAATGCACACATTCATTACCGCTCCTGCTGTTGCTATAGAAACAAGTATCTCATTTTCCCCCCAACCAGGGTTAGAGCAGAGGAAAGATTAACTTATAGGATTATGGAAATGGTTTCTAAATTCAGAATAGTCCTTAAAGATTTAGAAAGGAAAAGGAAAAAAAACTTTAAGGTGGCATATAATGAGCTATAATCAGATCATTTTCTTAATGATTTAGAATGCCAACACAGAATGGCATTATTGAAGTAGGTAAGGGTATTGATAACAATGTCATTATAACAAAGATGTATTTCAAGTCAAGCTTATACCATATAAAACATTTTTGTTGTTGAAAGAATGATATTGAAGCATTTACAGCTAAGAAACATCAGTTACTTATTTGTACATTTTGTGTGGTCCCTGTGTGCTCTTCCTACAGTCCTGTATGTGCACTGCAACATTTAAATGTCCCCACTGTGGGACAAATAAAGTATCTGTTATCTTATATTTATATAATCCAATTAGAAGGCAGAATCACACGAGTCTCCAAATTGATTTTTCCACCTAAATGTTTAAATAGCCCAAGGTGAAAAGGAAATCCTTATCACTAATCATATATTGAACATTGGATCAATACAGAAGATTCTGACAAGCCTTTGGCTGTTGTTATACAGTTTTTATTGGGGCCAATTTCATAAAACCTATTCTATATGACTATAAATTCACCATAAAACGCTCCTTTGAATTACACATTTCAACTTAACAGTTTTTTACCATGCATTTTTCATCCCCCAAAAAGAGATGAGCTATTGAGTCAAGATTTCCAACAGCAGAGCTCAAATTGATCATTTGAATTTGAATGAAGTGTGAGCATCTATAAACCATTGAAATGTGTGAGCAATCATGAGCCATCCAAATCACACTTTTAACCTGAAAGGCATTGAATCCGCATCTCTGCAAAACCCACTTGATTTGTGCAAGTCCAGAGGTAGCGGCGTCTTTTACAGCTCTGAGCACACTGTGTGACCTTCGTGCAGAAAACCGCAGCCAACAGTGTGCGCTATAGTTAATATGAAGACACTCCACTTACAGGGAACCACGGAGGAGTTGCGGTTCTTCTCCTTGTTACAGTCTTTGTGTGCGCTGAAGCACTCCACGAAGCGCATGTTAGCCTGAGACAGCAGCTGCACGGAGCAAACACAGAAGAAAACTTAGACGAGAAGAGAGGGAAGGACACTATATATAGAGTTTGAGCTCTTATATAGAATTAGAAACACACTGTTCATGGACTTGTGAGAAAATGGTAACAGGAAAGAACACATAATTATGGAAATGGAGCATAGAAATAAAAACATGCACAAAAAAGAAGTGTTAGTCAAATCAGTTATCACTTTATTCAACAACAGCAGAGTGACATCTGTGACATAATCACTGCATTTATACGGATCATTACAGCATCTGTTGAAAGCCCGTCTATGTGAATTTGGCAATTAACACTGACACCAGCATCAGATTATCAGATAGAACAGAAAAACAATAAAGTATAAAGTATGTTTTTCAAATCATGACTCAAACAGCCTTCATTAGCCATCAGCATTCAGATCTATGCAGTTAAAATCTGGAACAGTCTTCCTGAAAATGTGAGACAGGCTTCTTCTCTGACAATGTTTAAATCCAGATTAAAAGCTGTTCTGTTTTGCTGTGCTACAACTGAGGGATTTTATATTCACTATTTTTCATCTAATGGATTTATTCATTTATTAAAGTGATAGTCTGGAACTCTAAATGAATTACAAATTTAAATTTAAATTGACCTCCTGGCCTTAAATGTTGATATAAGATAAGTTATTTTATTCATTCTAATATTACGGGTAAGTCCCGCCTTCCCTTCCCGAATCCACGATGCCGTCCATGTTAACCAATCAAGTGATGCCAAGGGCTGTCAATCATCGGCGCTGAGTTGTTTGTTTTCGCAGAGCCTCCAAATCAAGCCTCTATTAGGCTCTGGAACTTCATGAAAACTGAACAAAGAATTCTGAACATCCGCGCTGAGGTACTTATGTATACTGAACCTATATCCATAATCATTTATATACTGAACCTATATCCATAATCAGATCCTCTGCAGATGTGTCCTATAATGTGCAATTCACAATAATAGCTACTTCTGGGTTTGCCGCGATCGCTTTTTTTGTGCATAAAAACATTATTTTTTTCATTAAAACGTTAACAAATAATTCAGAAAACCTCTGTGCATGTGTATTAATAATGTATAAGTATAATGTGTTCTCAGATTAACATTTAAATGTGTTACGGAAACGTAGGCACAGACCAATCAGAAAGGAGGGGGGAGGGAGCTTGCGTTGTTTTTTTCAAATCAAGGACCTCTCTCTCTTTTTTTCTGACAAACTCCAGACAATCACTTTAATGTTAATGGCTTGTATTGTTTCTAAATTGAGTTGCCTTGTGTATGGACTGTGCTATGCAAATAAACTTGCCTTGCCTTTATATAAATGATAAAACAGCATTAATTAATCCATCTCAATGACTTGTATGGATATGTTTGACAGCATGCAGGGAACAACAGAATATACAGTACACTTTATATTTTCAACAGTCAAGCTGTGGACACGGAGCAGCTCAAGTCAATGGTCAATGCACAGTACACCGTGTTAACAAGGATGGAAGTGAAACATACTCTCGGTCAGTGGTGAAACAGTGGACACACACGCACGCACACGCACACGCACACGCACACTAACCCTGAACTGTTTCTCCAGTCGAGTGCGGCCGGATGAGTTGGGTGTGAGGATACTGTTGACGTAAGTGTGGAGCTGACAGGCAGGCACCTCAGTCTCGCTGCACAGAATGCCCTCCATCAGAGCATCGTGGATGAACACATACTGCTCCTGGTGACGACACAGACACCAGATGAAGATATCACACTCGAAATCTTTTGCCCATATGACATCTTCAATGCTTTGTGACACAAGAAAGGCTGGAAGGACCTCGTTAGATTGCAATGTGCATGGTGCGAAAGGTTGTGTTAAAGAAAAGACAGGTTGAATACAGGTGAAACTTGCACTTACTTATTCAACTTACATGTGAAACTAACAAATGACAGACTCATTAGATGCAAAGTAAGAAATATTAAACAAAGGTAAGTAAGCAATCTTTATCAAATATAGCACCTTTAACAGACGGAGTCAAAAAACGCTTTACAAATGTGGATATTTGTGCATACAGAAGGCCATACCAGACCTATTGTACATGTTTTTAGTGGTAGGGAGAACCTACACAGACATGGGGAGAACATGCAAAATCCACACAGAAATACAATGTCTGGAGGTGGAATCCTGGTGTTGATAATTAGCTTACAGCTTGTAAAAACCCAAATAATCATTCTACATGTTGTACAAGGCAAGTAAATGGCAGTGATGGCAGAGACAAATGTTTTTTTTACCAAGAGATTCCAGAGATTTTACACATGTTTCACAGGTCTGGACCTTGACCATATAAATAATGAAGGACATCCATTCAAAAAGTATGAGAGGCTTCTGAAGTTCAAATCTATACTATATAAATCTTCAGATTACATTTGAGTAAATTTTTTCATTCCTTATGGCCTAAAACCTAATAAAAACATTTGGTCGCAATGTCTGGTAAGTAAGTCTGGTCCTACTACAAATCAGACCACAACATCCTAATGCTTTCACCCAATAAAAAAACACGTCATCTTTTGCATACAAAACGAGGAGTCCTGCTCAGCCATTATTTGACGCTTTGGGCTGAGAGCTGATTGGCTGAGTGAGGGTGGTCCTCCTTTTCACGTTTGGTCTCAAAAAGCTGATCTAAAGATGTGACAGAAGCCAAACACATACTGTACATGCATGTAGAAACTAGTGTTAGAACCAAACTGTTTTTGAACCAGGAAATAATAACATGGATTTCAACATAACATTGTTTTTTTTTATGTGAAAATAAGGTAGCCGAGCTTTAAGGCTACTGTAAACGCTGACAAATGATTGACAGAGAACCACAGACAGCGAGTGTGATTGCCACTTTGTTAGTTTATCACTTGAATTTCTGAACAGTTGAAATGATGCCGCATGAGATGTCGCTGGCGTTTACAGTTTCTATTGTGTCGTTTAAGCAGACACTTCTCAGTCAAGTGCGTGTTTGCTGTAAAACAGATTCTGCCGAAACACACTGAGTAATTATGTTCTGATTAAAGTCTGAAACATCTGTGCATTGTAAATGAGAGAATACAAAACTCTGCAATGACTTTTTAATGCTTTGTTTAAATCACAATTTGCTTACAGAAGTATCCAGCCTAATGAGCACACCCTCTGTCAGCACAGTCAAAGCAATAATAGATGTTCTTATTCATCAATTATTTAGACCGGCCAAAAATAACAATAACTTCTGAATGATAAAAGCGGCAGGAGTTGCGGCAAATTGTAAACAAAGCTACAGTAAATTCTTGAGGCCAACACTCTGACAATTACGTAGCTGCATTTCTACTGTACGGTTTTTCTATATAAAATATGCATCAGCAAATCCTGTTAATCAGATGTGGTTTGTGAGAATGATAAACTTGTTGATAAAGTAGCCATCTGGACTGCACTGTTGCCTGTTTGTCCTCACAGACCCCAATCCAAAAGTCTAACTGGAGATGAATTTCACTGGCAACTTCACACTTTTAGCATAATGTCTGCCAGACTGAGCCAGGGGGAGTTTGTCGATTGCGAATGATTTCCCCAACTAATAACAACTTGTCTTGATTTTTCATCCATTAAAGATTTTTGTAAATATTCTGTTAATTGCAGCATCAGTAATGAAATTGATCAGTGTTTCTGGCCAAACCCCAAACACTGTAGAAAGGTGATAGTTTTTCCAGCATGACTCAAGCCAAAATGTTTCCGTTTTATATTCCGCTGCTGTTTGTTTGCCACGGACCTGGTGCAAGTGTGACCTTTACTTGGGATCAGAGCATTAAACGAAATAGCTTTCCAAAGCCTCACATCCATCTTTAATCACACATGACCTTTTCGGCATTAAGAGCAGTAATGTGCCCCCAGCTTGCGGCCCTTCCCCCTTACCTCAGTTTGGACCAGGTAGTTGCGTTGTGTGCGGATGTGTTTTAGGAAATCCAGGACGCTCACTGTGCTTTTGTCCTTGATCTGTTGCAGCATGCTGTCAATGACAATGTATGTTCCGGTGCGGCCCACCCCTGCACTGCAAGCACATAGGCACAAGTGTGAGAGCCGGGGCAGACCTACAGGGGGAGCTCTTAACCACAATGTGTGTATTTACAGAGCCACTTCTCCTCTTTGTACCTGCAGTGCACCAGGACGGGGCCCATGTCTGTGGAGCGAGCCCAAGACGAGCGCTGGATGAAGGTGAGGACTGGGAGGGTGTACTCAGGGACCCCCATATCAGGCCACTGCGTGTAGTGATACTGCACCACGGTCCGCTCGTTCTGACGGCCTTTTGGGTTCCCCTTCTGACCCTGGAAACAAAGATCATACATATGCAGTTTAAAGAAGAGGTACTATACATTCTTTTTTGACATAAAACCTTAGTGTGAGACAATTTACCTTGGCATATCATGTTTTGAATGTGAAAAACTATCTTGGTAACACTTTATAATAACTACACCTTATTTAGGCTTAATAAATGTTGAAATAACACTTAATTAATCATGAACAATTCATTAATTAAGTGTGACCAGCTCACAAAAACTCTTAACTGTTAGTAACTGACTAATGAGTCATGCACTGCAGTATTGATACATGATTTGTCATACTAAAGGGTCTTTAACAAATAATAAAGTGTAAATAGTGTACACTTTACAAAAGCAAATGTAGAAACAAATGGTCACTTCAAAATTATTAAATAATAATGAACAAGTGAAGTACTTGAAGATGTATTCATTATGAGTGAAGAATTAAATAATTGTAGTAGTTAAGTAGTTATTAAGTGTTGGTCACAATTAATGAATTCTTTATGATTAATTGAGTGTTATTCCAACATGTATTAAGCCTATATAAGGTGTAGTTATTATAAAGTGTTACCACTATCTTTAATTGAAAATATAGTGAAACAAATATGAAGATGCTTCGTATGCTTCCACCAGATAAAGTTTTTTTTTTTTTTTTTTTTCACAAAATGGAAAGTTACCAGCTGTAAACATGGCCATTAAAGAGTGCCATTTCACATGATAAATTAATTTATTCAATGTATTAATTTTGTTTTAAAGGTGTACCCAGAGTGTGATGTCATAATGGTACAAAGACATCATACTTTTACTGACTGAGACGAAAGCTTTTCAACAGAAATTTGTGCCAGATGTTCCTAATTTTTTTAAGATAAAGACATTTTTCTATGAATAACTAAATCAAGAATGAATCATTGACAGGAGAAAATCAATACACTGGCTTTGACTGGAGCAGTGCAACATTACAATAACAAAGGTTTCACGTTTCACAGTGTACCTTTTTTACTTTTGTGTTCCTTATAAGGAAACTCCTCAGTGTGTAGCAGGCGTGGACTTTAGTGCTCTTGAGGGTTACCACAATGTTCCCATACTGCTCGCTGTTCTCTGTTGGCCAGTACTGATCACATTTCCGCTTTAGAATAAAAAGAGATACACACAGGTTAGAAGGTTACGGGATTAAACACATTTATCAAAGTGGAATACATTTACTTACGCGCCCTTTCTCCACCAGGTTAGTGATCATGACAATAATGCAAGTGTTCTGCTCCCAAACCATTCTCCAAAAGTCTTCAAAGGTCGACTTGAGAGGGCCTTGAGCTGCAATGTAAGCTCTGGGCTGGTTGTAGCCCTGAAACAAAAATACAACATTAAAAATATGTAGGATCAATAACTCAAGAAATCATATCACGCGCTCAAGTTTCATATCAGACTTTGAACTTTAGCTGTTTATTTGCCGCACAAGTTACATTTAAAAAGATACAAAAAATACCAAGATTCTAGTAAGACCGGGAGAGTGCTTATCTAACAGGAAAGCACGCTGTCAGCATTTTACTCCTCTTTATTGATCCTAAACATCCATACGCCGCTTCTAAAACATATTCTATATTCAAGACTTCAACATTCAAGGTCATACAGACTTAAATGCCACTGTTTTCTTTCATATTTGACTGAAATCCAGTTAGTGTTTTTCACAACAGGAAACGTACTACCTGCCTTTTGTAACAGTCTGCTAAATCAACACTTTGCTCTGCTCGGTTCCCATCAAAACAGATAACAATGGCGCGACAAAAATGAAATCAGCATGTAAAGTTTAAACTTTTGTCAATTCCATTCCTCTTTTAAGCATCCTGTTCAGGAGACCATAAGCCTCCAGGGGGCGCTTTGAGCACACAAACAACCTAAAAAGACTATTTTCTATTTAAATCGCTAGCTTCGAGGCACTTGACAAAAGTAGCACCCAATAATCGGAGAATCATGGTAATTATTTCAAACAAACCATCGGTCTGGGTCAAGTTCTAGAGGGAACTCACATCCACATAGTTGGCATTAATATAATCGGAATGTTTGGCATCTTTTCCAGCCAGAGCTCGCAGCTTCACTCTGCTGTGGTCATCTGGGGACAGAAAAGAATTGTAAGTGCAAGTGAAGCATATTTTTGATTGTAAGTAATAAGAAATTGATTTTTGGATGAAATGACAGCATTTTCCCCAAAGGACTCACAAGCTACTATGTTGATATATCTGTTTTTGTGCTTGTTGTCGGGATGATTGGAGTGCTCCGCTGTGATTTTCAGGTCGGCTGTGCAGCGCTGGACCTCCTGGAGAGACCAAAACACACATATTAGGAGCATTTTATTACCCTTAACTATGAAATGCACCAGGCAGTGCACAGCAGCTTTTACGATTGCAAATAAACATAGTGTAATGACTCCTTATTGGCCCAGATTTAGTGCTTCGGTCAAGGACATCACAGCAGTGCAGATGCTCAGTGATATTGAGATTTTAAGTTTTGATCTATCGTGCCCAGATTCTCTCAACTAAAACAACTACACGACAGCCTTTTCAATGGAGGTGTGGGGCACGGGCTGTTTTGCATCAAATGACCCCAATTAGCGGGTCTCCTCTGGGACCAGCCTTCCGCCCTGCTTTCTTAACCTGGTGGAAGAGACAGTGTGTTTTCATCCAGAAACACAGACAGTACGGCTCTAATTAACCCCAGTTTTTCCCTTTTGTCATTTCCGCTGCCATATGGCCACGATCAAAAGAGTTTTCACATTAACACATTAGTTTAGGACTGCAAACATATGCAGCTCACATATATGTGGTTAGCTTAAGGCGAGATGCTGTGATGAATTCAAACTGTAAATAAGCAATGGCAGCAGCTACTTCTGGTTTAATGACTATCAATTGCAGCTCATGTATTTTTTAGACCAGCGCTCAATGCTGTAATGTGCACTATTGAGGCAGAGAGATGGTGGCAGCACAGAATGTGGTGGTAGTGAAGTTCAACATTCTCTTAATGACATCACACGCCCGACAAATCTGAACCACTACATAGTTATGCAGCACAATGTTTTTATAAAAATAGTATTTATAGTGATATAAATAATTGATGTCTGTATTTTATGTAAAAATACAGAGGAATAACAAGGTACTTTGCCCCGGCTCTGGTAGAATACAGCATTGTTGAAGACACTTTCTTCAGTGACCATTGAAGCCTGAGTGTCAGGTCCCAGACAGTCCTCAGCCTGGACTAAAGGACAGTGTCACGTTACTGGATTTACCTCAAACTCCTCGGAGAAGCCCTGCAGATTGTTCTTGTACAACTCCATCACATGTTTAACAAAGAGCTTCACAGGGACCGCCTCCATGTCATCTGTGAACCACACGTAGCAGTTATAAGATGCACTGATCGGGAATAGAACCCTCAAGACATGTGTTTTTCCTGTTTGTGTTCATGACTGTGTCTTCTGGCGACACACAAGAGTCTGATGCCATAAATCATTTTTCGATTCTTATGCAACCAGCCAGCAAATGTAAAGCACGCTTTGTTAACCCCTAATCAGACGCCTGCAGTGACTTGAAATGAAACAAAGTAAAGACAAAGAAAATGCTGTTATTTGAATGGAGAAAGCGCTATCTTTCCAAAATGCAGCAAGCTTACTTTGCAAAATATTTGTATGAAAACAAAACAAAATGCTTCCTATATCTATTACGGCATATCAGATTTGATTGAAATACATGTACAGTATATTCCTACTCTTGTCCTAAAGCGTTGTGGCCACATCTCAGAAGCTACAGTAAGTAGGGCAGGGCATGATGGGAGACTGCTGGAAACAACAGGAGCTGGGAAGACACCCCACCCATATTGCATACAACTCTAGTGTGCGCTTGAATAATTGGTGGTAGTAACTGAGATTGGCAGTCACTAATGAAGCTGTGGCTACAGTCGTTGTTTACCACCACCATAAAAGATGCAAGTCATTGAGGATCCCAAAATTGTGATACATAAAACCCATGCAACATTATTATTAGTATAATTATTACACATTTAAGAGAAATGTCAGTTTGAGGTTCTTCTCATCTATAAAAATAACAGGGCACATTGATATATGAAACTTGATTGCCTTCACAGCTGGGACCCTCTGCACAATTTAACCAAATCCGGGTTTCATGGCACAAAAGACTTTTCAGTCTGGTCATCATTATTCTATCCATCTCATATTGTGGAGGACCCAGGTGCCGGTGGAGGCCGATGCTTAGAGTAATACGTCCACACAGCTGGGATCTGGAGCACTCTTTATTTGCCCGAGCGGCTTCAACAGAAAAGGTGACATTGTGGTCATAAATCTGTTCATTTATCAAAACGTCTCAGCTCCATTAGAATAAAGGGCCTTAGGAGTGTGATGAGTTCACGGAAACTGCACAGGGTGAAATTTGACATCAGGACTGTGATATTGAGATGAACTAGGCTTCATTAGTCAGCTAAATGTTTAACAATATATGAAATTGTGAAGCATAGCGTTCTTCACACATCACAAGCTCAATAATTCTCTGCATGCGGCCATTGACGTTTGATTTGATGGTCATTATTAAAACACACACACACACACACACACACAAGAAAGCCCTTCTATGGACCTCACAACTCAACGTTTTTAATGTGCATGCACTGAATAAGTTAAGAATTTAAGATCACATGAGAAAAAAAAATGAAACATGTAAGCGAGAAGAAAGACAGATAATAAAAGGTATGGACGTTGGATCAATACTGGCTTCAACTTCGCTCTGATATCACAGAGAGAAGACGTCCCTGAGCAGCTGAGAGTAAAACCTCCTATTGACAAGCTGCCTACACTTCTCTTTCACAACACTGAAGCCTATAGACATATTGTGTTACTATTCTGCAAAGAGAAACTATTCAAATATGTATGGAGACACAATCTGCATTTTTTTTCCCCTTCAGTGTCTCCGTTAGCTCAGTTACTACACCTACACGACTAATACTAATAAGCACTTTCAGATTGATATTCTGCTCTGCATGTTAGAGGAAACTGACTCCTTCATAATATCTAGTTTCTGTTTGCCACAATAGCGGGACTTAGAACTGCGGTTTGCACATACTTTTTATTGTATTAGGTTCACTTTAACTGCCAAGAACTACAGACGCTGAATAGGTTGCGTTCATGCTCCAGAATTCTACTTCCGCTGGGGGGCATACAGGTGTCAATGCAACTCTATGGGAAACAAGCAACTATTGAAAGAAAAGTTGAAAAGGAAAACCTCAATGCTTTTTTTTACCTTATTTGGTACATTATTTGATCCTTATTTGGTATGATTAGTTATTTAGATGAGATTATTCTAATGTCTGAAAGTCCTTTCTACTGGCCAACATACATTTGATTTTTGAACATTGTCACCACTTCTAAACACCTGTATGAGAACATAAGACAATAGTTGATATGTACTAACAATAGAGATTAAACGTGGATTGGTCCAGGAATTACAACAACAATAACAAACTAAAACTGACCTGACTTTTCACTAAGATTTTTATCCCTTGCCTTCCATCCCAATTTTATCGACTCCTTTGAAAGTTGTGATGTATCATGAACACACTCTATTCCATTTCACTATCTATTCAATTTGATCCGTTTTAATGTTTGCAAAAGTAATAAAGTAATGAGACAAACTTTTTCATACAGGAAAAGGAGGATTGGTGTGCAGTGATAACAGCTGCACTACATCAGCGGTTTGAGCCATGTTGTTATCGTAAAAAATGAGCTAAAACAACATTCCATACACACATATTTCTTAAACAGCTGCTTACCTGGGATCGGGATGATCGGTATGTTCTCATTGGCCACCACCCGCGGGGAGCTGCTCTCCTCTACATAAAAGTGAGCGGTCTGGAAAAACCTCCTGGATGGACACAGGAGTCACAGTGAAACATAACACCACAGCCACACATGAAGTCACTGCGTAGTCTGTTAGGCAGTCGTTATCCCTTTGTTCTCAGATCCGGTCCGTCAACATGAGCGTCTGAATGCGGAGTACAATGACTTGGGAAGAGGAGCAAACTGCTAATGAAAAGTCCCCAGTAAGCGCAGCACAGCTGATTGCTCACAGATAGGGCTGCTGTCGATGAGGAGATAGAGAAGGCATTCTGAGCTGCTACAGGGACCAGGTAAACAACCCAGAGCTACACAGCACTGTTGCTACTACTGCTAAAATTAGCTTTTCTCAAACTAATCCAAACACAATCTCTCCGCAGGGCATCAATAACGCACTAGGATAATGGCTTTCTGATCCACCTGGGAAAAAAGAACCATTTCAGCTGGACATTTCATATAGGCAGCCTGCTGATGTGCAAAGTACAGATTTGGAAAGGAAAAAGGTATGAAGTTTGAGATAAAAGTTCACCATGTGCACTCAACTTCAGGCATGAAATACTTCTCTCAAGAGAGGGAATTACTGCATGAAGAGCAGAGGCTCAAGGGAATATTCTATCAGCCCACAGACTACAAGAATTTAGTACGTTTTCAACAGTACTATACGAAAGTGAATCTCCATACATTCCTTTCAGATATGAAGACACATTAAGTTAATTAATAGAAACAGCATAAGCTTGGTTGTTTGGTCCAGTCCTACCTGAACTTGATGCAGAGCAGGGAGCAGATATTGGTCATTCTCTAGTGCAAATGAAACATAAGGATGGATTGGAGTCATAGAGGTGAAGAGAAGAGCAAAAGGAGGGGAAGAAAATAGGTTTGCTCTAATAGTTCTCTGTCGGCACAGATGTGCTGGAGTTAACTAGCTGCACGTGCTACACTGGATCCTCTGAGGGCAGAGGCATAGCATTGACGATGGAAACTTCAGATACTCCATGAAAAAAATGAATGCTTGCTCTGATCTGCTATGAAAGCAACATAAAACATTTTCATTGCATTATGCCATTTTCATCAATAATATGATTCTTAACACATGACCATAACAACACCAACTATATCAACAGCCACTTTCTATGGGCATAAAACCAGTAGAGAACATGGTCCATAGAGCTATTTGCAACTCATTAACTGCCCCACGTGTGCCAGTGGCTTGGCCTGTGTAATTACTGGGCGTCCAATGGCAGCGCTGGAAAGCAGCCCAGCAGATGAAGACCCAGCTGGGATTCCACTGCCAGTGGAGAGCCTTTAGGACTCCAGTGAGAACTGAGGTGGATGATAACTTCATGAGAGGTGTGCAAGTCAAACAGGCCTATAAAACACCAGCATCGGCAGAAGGAGACACCTATTATGGTAGTTAGGACAAGCTCCCTCCAGGCAGGTGTGAAATGTGTGGAGCAGAAACCGGAAAATCTAGTGATTCAACAAAGCGTCACACTCTTGTTATAAACACAAAGTCTGCCTTGTCATCTATATGATTTTTGTCAGTAATGAGAACCGTGTTAGGGAGGTCTGTTTCAGTTTGTGGTCCTTCAGGTTTGGCCGTTAACAAAGCCTTTTTCCACACTTACCTCCAATAGATCATCACAATAAGCAGCATGATGAGGCAGAGTAGTGTAAGTGCAGAAACCACCACTAGGGGCACTATCCACACCATCCGGGCCATTCCAGGCTGAGGGATCCGGGTCACATTTGCCAAACTTGTTCCGTCTGATTTGGAAAAAATCATAGAGTTTGTTAAATTACTGAAAAAATGTATAGCATTGTTGTTATATTGTTCACATTCAAAGTTCAAAGTTCAAAGTGTTCAGATCAGGGGCTCATTATGGCATTGATATTCATTTCACAATAATTAGTTTTATTTAAAAAAATCTGATTAAATACAATGAAAAATTAGAGTTAGAATTGTCTGTAGACATTATCTGGCGCCCCAGAATTTGAGAATTACTACTTTAGAGACATTACCTATAGGAACGAAAATAATCAAAACAAATAGCCTTAGGATCATTTCAGTGAAGGTACAAAGTGAGTACACGTATGCATTTAAATAGCTATAATATTTGTATAAGTAAATGTTAATGAATGAGTCAGTGACACAGCACATGATTTGTCAAAGAGCCATCCTCGGCGCAAACTCAAAAACACAGTAGACAGAGCTATTCCTTGCGGCACAGCGCCTCTGGCACAGCTTAGTTTTGCCCGCAGGCCTCAGCATAGTGACAAAGGCCTGGAGCAGTGTCTTTGACTGGGAGGTAACAGTCAAGTCATACCCTTAAATAGAGTTATTAGTTGTGCCACGTTGGGCTGTATGTTTCTGTCAATAGCAGTTGGGAGTCCCATGCATCAGTATTTGTGCTCTTACCCGTGTGGACTGAAAAAGGCGGCCAGTTGTTATTGATCTTTGGGGCAACAGTAGAGCTCTGCGGGATTTGCATTTCCCCACTGTCACTGTGCGCCTCCAGGCTGGACTCTGTCTGAGCGTCCACAGGCACCAGCTCCAGGCTCCCAGTGCTGTCCTGTACTGTCGTAGAATGGCCCGTGGTGGGACCCCATCCTTTCTGCTTGGCGGTGGGTGCTGGTGTGGGCGTGGCTGGCTCCTGGATCACAGTGCCGTTATCTTGCCTCTCCTCATTGGTGGGAGCTTGTTTGGGCTTTTTCTTCTTCTCCTCTTCCTCATCATCCTCCTGCTCACCCTCTTTCTCTCCCTCCTCGTCGTCCTCTCGCTCGCCCTCTTTCTGCCGCTCCTCCGGGGGGGCATCAGTCTCTGGACCCGTGGGAGTCGGCCCCTGCTCGGCGTTGGCCAAGGCTGTGGGTTGTGTGGTGGAGGCGCTGGGGGTCTGGGTGGGCCGGGGTGCGCGGGTGGGCCAGGCTGAACTCGGCAGAGAGGAGATGACCCCGCCGCCAACGCCCAGCCCTGCCAGGAGGGTGCTGGTCACGACCGAAGCCACTGTGGCCTGAGAGCCGCTGGAGGAGGGGCCCATCCCCGTCGCCATGGAAACTATAGAGAAATGGATGCCAGAGGAGGTCCACGTGGAGGAGCCTGAACTTATCGGCGCCATGTCTGCAGAAGAGGCTGGAGACAGAGTGGGCTGTGGAGGAGAACAGATGTTATCGTACACTATAGATGTACTATGCTGCATGAAGTCATTGTACAATTTTAGCAAAGAACACACACACACAATGAAAAAAAGTGTTGATATCTCTTTCACTCTTCAGTAATATTGCAGGGACTTAACTTTATGTCATGGTAATTCATTTTTAGTTTAGAAAGAATGAGAAAACCATAATTGGAAAACCAAAATATAAACTAAATAACCCTCATGTTGTTTTGTTTTGAAAAATATGAATAGAAAAGCGATCAAAGAGAAAATGGCATAGCAACATTTCCTATCCATCTTTTCCATGGAACTTGCAGAGTCTAAAACCAAATCAATACACTGTTCCATCATCAAAAACATACCTGAAGTTTTCATTTGTTTCATTGAATACGTTGGTGCAGGTCGTGTTGGACTAAAAACCAGTCAGCTATGTAACACAAACCTCTGGATGTGGTTTTTGCAGATATAATTAAACGTGGTGAAATTAAAAAAAATATGTGAATCAAGTAAAGTTGGGTAAACCCTCCAAGCCCCTTTCTTCCTTATGCCCCTTGAATAGATCATAGATGACTAAAACAATGACTGCAGCTCTAGTTCACAATATGTATGGAACTAAATGTTGTATTGAGGGAGGTACAGTATTGATTGATAGAAGTTGTGTGTCGTTACTGATGCGGTGTCATTCATACAGTGCATATCATAAAATAAATAACCTGGGATCTGCTCTCCTCGTCACTCACCATTCCGGTCTTCACAATGCGCGAGCCTTCAAAGATCCGTGTGGTGTTGTCTGAAAAAGCAAAGTGCCTAATGTTATTCAAGGACAAAATGTGCGGCAAAAAGGCAAGTGAAGTATAATGAACTGTTCCACAGAGACATAGCATTAGAAACAGAGATAATTAATGTCAAAGTTAAAAAAGTATTGTTTGTGCTAATTAAGCATGAATTAAGAATATGTCTTTGTAATTTGTGCTTAGATCTATTCTGAGATCAAATACTTGAACTTTAAGACACTTTCATAATGCACTTGCAGGATGTTGTCTTTATATTTAAAACACAAAAGTGTTTTAATAAACCTCATTTACAAAGAATAAAAGGAGTAAAACCGAGAGCTGAGACACTGACTGTCCGATAGATAAAGATGGATAAACTTTATTAATTATACTTTATTGCTGGAGTTGGAGTTGCAGCATGACTAATAGAATATTGTAAGCTTAGCTACATTTATTATACTATAATGTACAAAAATACCATAACAGCGTATTTTAGGAGGCTCCGCCCACAAACCTCTGAAAAGCAGCGTCTGGCTGAAGTCACTGCGCAGGTCGTGGTGACACACGGCCTGAACTCGGAACAGGTACAGGATGTCAGGCGACACGTTAGTGATAACCGCTTGCTGGAAAAAAAAACATCACATTTATAGAAACGCAAAAAAAAAAAAAAATTAAGATACTTCACATATTTTGAAAAATAAAAGTCAAACACATATTTCCATATTATTATGCCTGATAAACAAACGCAAAAGTGCACAATGAAAGTCTTCCTTTATTTCACCCTCTCTCACCTTGTCTTTATCTCAGTAATAAAAATGGTCAATTGGTGCAGAAAGGCCACAGTTATTGCCAAATTTCTCTCGAGGGACTTCTGAAGAAGCGTCCTCTATTGTGAGAGAATTAATATACTTTTTGATCATAAAACTTTCATAAAAAGTCTTTATGGACTGCTTCACAAAGAAACTGTCTGTTCTTGTCACCTCCTGTGTCTTCTGTATCTTTACAATTTCATTTGAAGAAAGACAGTTGAATAAATGTAGTCTGCGCCCACTGCAGTGGGTTTGGGAAAGGGAGGGGCATTGATCACATTTCCAAGGATGCACTTTCTCCAACCAACCAGTAGAAGGCAGTGGTCGCTGCCCTTGGCAATCCCCCCACCTGTGATGATGATGGGACTCAATAAAACGCATGAAAGCGCCACATGCACCGCCACTAGGAACATGATATGCTGTGAAGGGAGGCTGTTATACCCCAGTGTGACTTTTTTATCTAAGGAAGCGGTCATGCACATAGCCAGGACAAGCTAGGGTCAGCGGGCTTCGGCTGGTGCACAGATGGGGCTCTAGATTCCCTGAAGTGAAGAGGGAAAAATATACTGTGCACTGAACATTATTTCAACCCTATAACCTTTTTTTGATTCTGCCTCGTTACGGCCACAAGAATGAAAGTATTCTAGGGTCATTTTATGCAAAATTGTATGCAAAATGTTATGCAAGACTCCATCAAGACTGGTGAGGCTTTAGCTTTCATCAGGACTATTTCTCTAAACAAAAAGCTATTTCATAAAATGGCACAAGAGTAAGTGGAAATCCAGACCTAAATCCAATCAAGAAACTGGCATGATCCAAAGAAATGCAGTTCACAAACGCTCTCCATCTAATGTGACAGAGCAGGTAATAAAAGTAATATATTGACTCGGGGGGCTTAATACTTTTGCAAGCCACACTTTTCACTTTATGGTGAGTGAAAAATAACACATCAGGATATTGCCAAACAGTTGGTATTTCACATAAGTCAAACATTTACGTTTGTTGTTATAACGATAAGATGTCCTTTGTATACAGTAGATAGAAAGCCAGTGTGGTGCGGTGTTGTGGGCGCTCAGCATTAGGTGGAGCTTTCTTCAGGGAGGATATATTTCTGAGGCGATCAATGTTGTATTCATGGCTTTTTAGCGAACAGCCAGTATCCAATGATCGCGGGTGTTAGCAAGTGCATGGAGATCTGAGGGACTGAGATCCAACTCTGGCTTCCAGCAGAGATCAGCTAAAAGACAGTCGGTGTTCAAAAGGATTTTTCAGGCGACGACTGTTTCCTGAATGATTAAGGAGGTTTTGAGAATAGACATGTGCCTCTGTGTCGCACGGACTGACCCTACAATGTCCAAACTGTAATGGGGAAATCACTGAACTAATTAAATACCTTTGCTTTCTTGTATTCAATGGGGAAATGGAGAAAGTTAAATGTATTATAATGGAGTTAATTGATTGATTGAAGTGCTTTGCAAAGGGAAAATCTGTTATACTTCAGCCATTAGGGTCATTGCAAATTAACCTGAAAAGAATTAAGTGTTTTTTTATGTTTTTTTATTTTGCCTGAATCTTCCCTGCATGTTAAGCGCACACACACACACATGTAGCTATGATCCAGCTCTGATTACCAATTTGCAACAACTCCTGGGGTTTAGGCCAGCTGGATTTCACAAAAGAAAATGGCAACACAAATACAAGACTCACTACTCTCTAAGCTTGAGAACCAAAATATAAAACAAAAAGTGCAGGTACTGTAGTATTTCAAAATAGGGAGTTTGAAGTTGATGTGAATTGGTGGTGATACCGAACTCTAAACGAAGCCGTATCACTTTCAAATATTTCAAACCAAATACATATGTCGCTCGTTATAGATGGATAGTTAAAATAATAGTTAAGATAAAGTTTTTGTGTAAATACAAAACATATCAAGACGTAGGCTTTCTAAGGAAATAAAGATCTGATGCGGTCAGAATCTAGCGGTAATGCAGTGAATGACAAGTGGGTTATTTTAATCTCTTTTGTGTGATTTTAATATTTTGATAGTTTTAATTACCTGTGTGATTTTAATGGTGATTTTGCCGCTGCTTTCATGTTATGATTTGTGCGACTTGTGAAGGGAAAAGCGCTCTATACATAAAGATTGATTGATGGATTGACAGATAACAAACATGTATAAACGGTTGCAAAGATGAGATGTATTGGCCGATTTGGAACACGTTTTCACGTTCCATTAGAGCTCACAGCACGAGGCGTGTCTCTTTCAGGGCAGAGCGTGGTTCTGCGGCTGCATGCAGAGTCCATCAGCAGCTGTCACCACTCCTGCTGCCCTCTGATCCTGCCAACCGCATCACAACTGTTTCATGTCTCGCCAGTCACTCAACTCCACACAAACCCTTCTTCCGCTGCCATTCTACCAAGAAATATGTTGTGGTTTTCAGACACATACAGTGGAAATACTGTTATTTCTTAATCAAAACGTAATCAAGAAATGTCATATTTGAGGTGTAAGTAAGTCATAGTAAATATATAATAATAATGCATTGGTTTTATATAGCGCTTTTAAGGACACTCTCTCATGTCATTATTCTTCCAGTCACAGCTGCCCTGGGGCACACTGACTGAAGCGAGGCAACCAGTATGTGCCATTGGCATTGCTGACCATCACCCACCATTCACACACATACCAAAATCATTCTAGGCAATGTGGGTGAAGTGTCTTGCCTATGGACACAACAACAGTTTGGCAGCTCACAGCCGCAGCCGCCCCACTGTGGGTCCTGCTGTTACCAGAGGTCTACCATCACAGTACTAACCAAGCCCTGCCCTGCACAGCTTCAGAGGTCTGATGGGATCTGACTTTCACATGCAGGTATGGCCAAAGTAAGCAATCTTTATTTATATAGCGCATTTCACAGGCCAAGGTCACACAAAGCCAGTTCCAGGAATTCCTATTCCCTCCACACTCGTTGATGACAGAAGCAAATACAAAATCCTTTCAATCTTTCATTACAAACACGTCTTTTGTGGGAAACCGGAGCACACAAAGGAAACCGATGCAGACACTGGGACAACATGTAAACTCTGCAGAGAGAAGAATCGTCTGGGGGTGGAAACGAACCCAGGACCTCCTCCCAGGTGGGGTATAAAAAGCGGGGCCGATGGCACACAGGGATGTTAAGGTTAGTTTATTGCAGATTATTTTTTCACTTCCACTCCCGAAACTGCAATTCTTGAGACAACCCATAAATTCAGTTTTTTGGTGTAAGTATAAGGTTAAGGCCTACCACATACTTCTTTATAGTTTTTGAGAGTGGCTAATAAACTGTGTGTTCCAAATCATAAATGTAATGAGAAAAAGGGACTGAAATCTCATCTAATCACAGCGTTTTGTGCATCTGTTTTGACCTGAAAAACAAGCGCATTTGTAAATCTGAAGAGTGGGTATCATTCTTCATTTAAAAAGAGGCTTGACAGAACAGTGTTATATAATCACAAACGTATTCCTGCATCGTAGAGAATGTAATTACAGCAACAGGGCAGACTCAGGGTTGATGAAAAGCATTGGATCAGCACATACGCTCACCATGATCTGATCGCCGGTCTCTGTGAAGGTCTTCTCGTCGGCCACGTCTCGCTCCCAGCTGTACGAGACCATGTAGCTGGTGATTGGAGGGTGGTAAATGGTGAGAGGGCGCTCCCAGCTGACCACCAGCGCGGTCCTGTTCAGAGGCTGGATCTTTATGTTCACCGGAGCACTGCTACAGACTGAAAAAAACCACAAATGAATAATCAGACATAATATATCACAAGGTTACGTCAAGGTAACGTTGGAGGGTAATCGTCTCGTTTTCAAGGGGGGCCCTCGGAATATGTGCGATATGCCGATGAGGAAAACATGTACAAACTAAAGCTCTATGTGGTAGTTATTTGCAGGATAAATAAGTCAAGGCAAGGCAAGACATGTTTGTGTGAAACCGTTCATAAACAAGGCAACTCAAAGTGCAAGATAGAAAACAATCACACAAGGCATTAAAATCATAAATATTCACAGTTTAATAAAAGAGAAAAGATAAAATCACTCAGTAGTCACACATTTTGAGATAAGTTAGCTGTACAAGTGTTAATATTGGTATCAGCAGATATTGATAATTGCTTTTACTATATATAGGTTGTTTAACACTAGAACTCTCAGGGCATTACATTTGACTGCTTTTTGTTTTGGAAGCGTAATTATTCCATTTATGTACATTTTTTATCTTCACTACTTTGTATCTATATGTAGTTTATTTCCATGTATTTATGTTTATGAAATTATCTCGATCCTAAACTGGTTCAGATCTCTGTGCTAGTTACCGTAGCAACACATGTTTACTTGCAGCAGTTAGCATTTGGTTAATCTGTGTTTCATGTAAATTAGCTTACCGGCTTTGGCATGTATTAAAGATTCAGAAAAACTTAATTTTGATAACAGTAGTGAAAAAGTAAAACTATTTATTGGGGATTTTTTTTCAGAATTGATATTAATGTGACCCGTCAAACTTTCTAGTCGTATCAGAATCCTGCGAGAGTGCTCCTAGAGGCAGTAGTATGCAAATGTGAATACAAAAAAAGCAAAAATGTCAAGTTACAATTTGACATTTTGCTCTTAAAAATGATTGAGTGACCGTTTGTTGAATAGTTTCCAGCCTGCTGTGATATCTCCCTACGGTGGAATAGACGCGTCAGTTAGAATTGAGCGGCAGTTGGCAGAAGAAGCACTTGACTGAAAAGGTTTGTGTCAGTGCAAAATCAGGCTCGTTTTTTCTTTTAATAAATAATCCTATCATTATTGAAAGCTGCTGACTCGACTTTAAAAGGCCCTTCAGTGGAGGAGCCTCACAGATACAGTAACTCAATAACAGAAACACTCCAGGAGGCTTTGGCCCGGGTCACTCCCAATCTCTGCTATCTGTCTGCCATCTGCGGCGCTCGGTGACTGTGCGCCCCACAAAAGCAAACGAGAATTTTGAACAGCAGAAAAGACGGTGTCCATAGTGCAGGGATAAGATCAATGTGTTTTTTTAAATCATGTTTGCACACTTCGGTCTTTTGCACATTCTGAGTGATTCTATCCATACCAAATGTGACATGTAAATTTCTTCAGTGCGAGACCAATAAAGTCTTATCTTAATCGGATACAGAACAATTTGCAAAGCTAACCCTAACCACATTGGAATACATTTGCAAAAATCCCCGGTGTGCTAACTAAAAAAGTGCAGGAACCAATTGTCCCTGTGAAAAAAAACAGTTTCAATACAAGTGCAAGATGTTTAAGATTATTAAAGGGCTCCGTTTAAACTAATAACTTCTGGTGGAGAGAAACTATCCTGCATCTCAACAAACGATAATGTCTGCCAGAGGGAAGAAGCTGGAACATGGCTTTTCCAGGGTGGCCAGAAGAGTCATTCATCATGTCCTCTTTGAGTGAGAGGGGTTGGAGCCAACGCCTGCGTCGTCCAGCCTATTTTTCAAACGGTTTAGTTCTGTTTATTCTGTGTCTTGTTTTTATTTTATATCTTGTTTGTTGTTTATATTGTTTTCTTTTGCATAAGGTTTGAAATAAATTCTTACTGTACTTTACTATATACCACCAAAAGATTAGAATTAAGATTAAAGACCTTATGACGGGTTTGATTTATTTAGAAATACAGTTTTAACACCATTTTATATTAGAAGAGAACTACTAAAGGTTTCAAAATCAGTTGTTTTTTTTTTTGTCTGATCCCCCCAAATCAAAATAACCCCATAGCAACGCCCTTAGAAACGAAAAAACTTCACAGCCCTTGGTGACGTCAGAACGGGTACGTTTCAACGCTGTAAGTTGTTTACAATTTGGTATTCGTTCTATTTTCGCGGATATTCAAGATGACAAGGCCGTGTACAGCGAGTGTGAGATAACTACTAGAATGTCACTTTTCGTTGTCACTGAGATAGTCCAGTGGTTGTGTTGATGGACTGCCAATCCAGATACTGAGGTTCAAATCCCACCTTGGACACTTTTTCACACTCAAAACGGCAATTTATGTGTAGTGAGCAATTGTCACCTGTAGAGTGCAGTATTGTGTTGGGCATCAGTGGAGAGAAGAGAGAAAAGGCAGTCCTGTGGCATAGATCCATGGTTTTCAATGCATGGGCGTAACCCGCTATGACGTCACACACAGGTTAGAGCATAGACAACTTAAATTCATGAAAAACACGTTCTTTTTATAAAATATAGGATTTTTTTTGCCGGAATCTCTTTCAAATTGACATTGTCATGCAATTTTGATATCCACTATTTTTTTTTTAAAAACCCGTCATAAGGTCTTTAAGAGATCCTTCATTCGTCCCAGTGTGAGGAGATTTCAGTGTTGCGTCACAAGTTACAGACACTAAGAACGAGGAGAACACAGCCCAAGATAAATGAATAATAACTACATACTAAAATAAAATGGATTCAAATCTTTAGCACAAAAAAAAGGTTAAAATCTCTATCTTTAGCATGATAAAGATAACCTGGCAAAAGCCAGATTGATGATTGTGTAGAACTAACGCGTTCTCCGCGATATCAATCTGGGATTTCTCCCGGAGAATCCTTTCGGGGAAAGGAGGGGTAAGCAGCAGAATACTTGAAGCTGATTGGGCGAAGTGACGCTGTGTGCCCGCCTACCAAGGTTGCCGTCCAGAAATGTACAAAGCGCCTCTCGCTGTTCATCTTTCAAAAAAGAAATTGGAGATTCTGCTAAAACTGACTTTGCGTCCGTCCTCCTGCGTAGCCATGTTTGTTTTGCTTCGGCCCGGCACTTCTTGCTTTTGTCAAACCCGGATATCCCGCCCTAAACCCCCAGACTGGCGCGTGATTGGCTCGCACACCCAGTGGTTCGACTCGAAAAGTGTAAGCGGGAGCGGTACAAGATGTATTCTCGAGTGTTTGTGAACTCACAAATACCGCGAGAATTCAGCTTGCAGGCAAGGTTATGATAAAGATAGAGATTTATTCAATTTTTACTGATTACATTGTTTTAAATGAGTAGAGTCTGGTCGAGCATTTTTCTTCTGTTGTCTGTTGGTTTGCTACCAACTGAGACAGCAGCTCATTTGGCAGAGCATTGGTCTTTGAGCCCGAAGGTCGTAGGTTCGAGCCCACAACAAGACCTTCTCCACCGACTCCCACTGATGTCTGCTGTTGTTGTGTCCTTGGGCAAGACACTTAACCCACTTTGCCTATAAGGAACGCGGAAGTGATGTTTGCGGCTTGCCTGGATGTGTATGTGTATGTGTATATGTACTGTGTATGTGTGTATGTGTATGTGAGTGTGTATATGTATCAAACTGAAATTTCCCCATTGTGGGACGAATACAGAACCTTTTTCTTCTTATTATTATACTCTTTATTCCACAGCTTACTCATAAGTATTATGACATGTGCTGTGTAAATTAAGTGGATTTGGAAAGTATGAATAATTAGTAACGTTGTATAATAGTGATGTTGAATAATTGTGCAATCCCCACTTTTCATGTTTTTATCTAAAATAAGAAAATCATGCAACATTCTGCTATTGATTCCTTGTTTTTTGTCACTTTGATGCAGACTTTCAAAAAAATACATTGCGTACACGTTTATGCTTGTAAACAGCTCATTAAAACTAAACTTTAATGAATTAATAATTTTCAATTCTAAATGCAAGAATGAAAAAATACACTAAAATGTGTCACAAAATACACTTTTTTTTTTTGATACCAAGAAAATATAGAGTTTATTTATTGTTTTTTTAATGTTATAAATATGTATTCTGATGGATGAAATTAAGAATACAGTTAGTGTCTTTATTTCATTCAATTCAAATGAAAAGCAAAACAGCATACATCTCAGCCCTTACTGTCTATAAGAATCAGACTTGACAAGACAACCCTAAAGAAGAACACTAACAAAACACTGGAATAAATGCATCCATAAATCACTAAACCAAACCTAACTTATTGTAGTTCACTCTTCAAAACAAACCAAATCAGAAACTTCAAAATGTTTACCATAATGTCTCCTCCTTCCTCCTCCGTCGAGCAAAGACGTGTCTTAGTCCGCTCCTGCTTCTGAACGGCTTGCTATCTCCTGTTTTTGTCTTTTTTCCTGGAGCTTTGCCACAGACAACTTTAACAGAATGGAAATGATTAATTGGTCCCTCAACGCAATTGATTCTATCTTTTCAACACGTAAGCGTGGGTCTGGAGAGCCCGTGTGTCCGGACGGGACTTCACCAGCGGGGTATACGCTTGACAGCTGGAACAAGTGGCAGCCCCTCTGTCTGTCGACCCTGTCCATTGAAGATTCGGAAGACGTATATATCTTTGGCTTTTTGGTGGTGGGAATCCTCCTGTTTGGGTTTGGAGCGATCCTCTTCTACCACAAATTCGGAGGCATGGCAGTTCGCAAGATTCACGACCTGCTGGCCGATAAAATTGATGGGATGTACAAGGAGCTTAGCCGTGTCGTGGTTGAGAGTGCCGTGTCTGGACAAAGAAGGGTGGTTTTGGTGGAACAGTTGATCAAAGACCTCGCAGCTCGTTCACTTGATGGACATAAGACTTTAGAATTGAGATTGAATGACATTGTTTGTCAGGCTTGATCTCTCTGACCCGGCTTGGATTTGCCCCTGTGTACGGAGGTCTGAGGGCACCGGAATTCGGTTTAATTGGAATTAATAGAATATCTGCCTGCTTTTGACTGCGACATTGCAGGCGATGTGTTT